GGAAATGTAAAAAAGAGACGCACCCCCCCCCCCCCCCCCCCCGAAATAAAGAAAACAAGGTTTATGTGAGAAGACTGAAATGGTTAAGCTGAGCCTATGAAAGATAAGCTTGAAGAGAGAGAAAGCTGTAAAGGCTGCTGTAAAATAGGAGGAGGTTAATCAGACCACAGCATTGTAGTCAGATAGAATAAGAAATAATATGCCTAAATTGCAGCATGGAATTACTGTTTGGGAAGGTTTTGGTTTTTTTTTTTTAACCAACAAGGACAGTTAAGTACTGCAGTCCCCATCACTGGAGATGTTTCTTAACAGTTTAGATAAATTAGAGTCAGGCGTAACATATATAACTAGTCCTGCCTTGGAACTGATGAAGATTTTGGGTAAAATATTTATTTAACCCTTTGAGTTCCCTTAGGCCTCTCCCATTTTTTTTGAGCAGTCTGACATCAGAAATCTTTAAAATCAGATCTCCACTGGATATCTTGAGGTTTTTTCCCCTGGAGGTCTGTATTTGATTTTAGTTATTTTAAGAAACTGTGGATTACATCCATAAGAGGCATATACCATTAAGAGAAGGGAAACTTGCAGTTGAAGACTGCATCTTTTAAACATCATCTTTCTATTCACTTAAAAAAACCCCACACAACAAAACACACCACACCAAAAAAGCAACAACAAAAAAACCCCAACCAAAAATGCCCCACCCCAAAACCTAATTCTGATTCTTCCAGTTTGGTTGGATTTTGACCTATGGCCTTCTGGATTGAGGCAAGATTACAAAATCCTGATGCTTTTATTGGCCCAGCATCTGGAAAATGCTTGTCTAAGACTAATTTTACTGAATTTTCCACACATTAAACCAACTTTTTTCTACAACTCATGTTGTAGAATGTGTAATGTTTAAATTTTTGTGGTAATATTTTAGTTAATAAAGAGCCAGCTGCATACAGTTAGTCCACTTAATTCAGGCAGGGAGGTGCCCAAGCAGAGAGACTGGGTGAGGTGATATGTGTAAACACACATCCACTCACTAAACTAAGAATGAATATTTGAAAGCTCATCAGTATCTGTTTAGGTTTTTTTAATTTGTCAGACTACCAGATGCTGAGAGTACACACAGTATGAGCTGCATCAGTGGCCCCAGAGAAAATATTCTCTCCTGTCTGTTCTGCCCTCCACATGCTTCTTGTAAGGGTATTAGGGAACTTCCCACGCTGCTCAGTAACCTAAGGCAAGCTTGGGTCCTCAGAGGTGCTCATAACCTGTTCCCAGTGTGTGTTGGCATTCATTCAACATTCTCATATCTTCTTGCTCGCATATTAGTCAGTATTGGGCACCTCATTGTATGTCTGCATTTCTTTTCTACCTCATTATAGTTTTTGCTGGTTTTGTTATTCATTTTTTTTTAAGTGTTCAATTCTTAACTTTTGTTTTCCTCCTTTAGCCTCAACGTGGTCGTAGCATGTCAGTTTGTGTCCCCCACCTTCCTGCTCTTCCCTCTATGTCCTGCATCCCTCTCAGTGCTCCTTGCACCCCACCACCAGCGTTGTCTGCACCTCTTTCTCCTTTCTACCTTCGGACTGTCCCTGAAGAAACCTTTGCAGAAAAGCTTTCTAAAGCCCTGGAAAGTGTCCTGCCCATGCACTCTGCCTCTCCACGCAAGCATCGACGCTCCAGCCTGCCCTCCCTCTCTGTCAGTCCTGTATGTGTTACCATTTGCCTCCTGGCACAGTAAGATAAGTTATCATTAAATACATCCTGGGCTTTGGGCATTTTTAAAATGAGAAAATGAGAAATGAAGAGGTGATTCCTTATACTGTGCTGCTGGAATGTTGATTTTTTTTCTTTTTTTTTTTTTGGAAGCAGTACACTTAAACATTATCAAACAGTAGCTGACTTTTTTTTTTTATTATAGTATAAATGTAAATTACCCAGTTGTACCACAGAAGGTAAGGGGAAGACTAGTCCTTATCCCCTTAAGTCAGAAGACCAGCTTTTTATTTTCCGGCTTCTAAGCAAGTATTGAATGTTAAGTAAGCTCCGCACAAAACAACCAGCTTTTAAAGCTTGGTTGCTGTGGCTAGTTATTCTAAAAGCTTCGGCTAGCTGTGCTAGTGATACTAGAAATTCAGAGTATGAATACTTTTGAGGATTTTTCTGTAGGCTTTAATCGGAAATGCCACTTCAGCTGCTTTTTGATGGGAAGAAGCCATGGTTTCGTGTTTCTCAAAGTCAGATGTAAGATAGCTTGCAAGACAGGAGGTAGTGTCTTTTCAGTTTTGGGCTTCAATTTACACAAAATAAACGTTGAGAAACATTTCTTTATAAATTAAGTGGAACCAGTTTTCAGAACATAGGGAGAGTTCTTCATCCTGTAGGACCTTCTTGTTAGTATTGGTCAATATGGAAATTTGCTGCTGCTTTTCTGGAAAAAAGGGGTTGGGGAGAAAGAACAATGTGGAAACAGCAACTTGAAAAAGTCATAAATGCCATCTGTCTTTAAAGACAGTATTATTTGCTATTGACTCTTGCAATTTTTTTTTCCCTTTAGGGTAGATAATACATTCTCTGCATACTGTAGGCAGAGATGAAAATATGCGGAATTACTAAATTGTTTGGTATTCTTACATAGAACTCTCTTTAGTGAAATTTTACCTATAAATCTTAAATAAGATGAGCCTCATCTGAAGTAGTACATCAGATGGAGTGGAATTGCCTGAGGCCTCTGCTGTTACTAAACCTGTGAATGTTTTATTGTCCAGGCAAGAGTTAGGTTTGTTTCAGTGAGTGCTAATTTCCCATGTGAAAAGGTATGATCAAAAGTGATCAAAGGGATTAAAAGAGATGATCAACTTTGGCAGAATCCAGAGGCTCTGCAGTTTTATCATACTTTTTTTTTTTTCCCAGCTGTGGGCTGGAATGGTTCTGTTTTGTCTCAAAAGGTTTCTCTTTAGCTCTTTGGATAGCATACAGGACTCTAGCACTGTGGTTTTTGTGTTGGATAATACTAAGATTTAACGTCATTTTATCTTCTAAGTGCAAACTAGAGGCTCTGCATTGTTGCTGCTATCAAGTTCTGAATTTTCGTATTCCCCATATGGCAGTAACCTCAGGGGTTTGATTGGATTTCAAGCCCTGATCACAGTGGATAGCCCATGACAATAAACCTCATTCCATTGTCAGGAGCAAAACTGTTTTCTTCTTGTGAATTATTGGAATTGGACTGGAAAAGCAGCTCTAACACAAGCAAATGTTTCCATTTGTAGCTATGCCTGCCATGGATGTATTTAATGGATATTTACGACTCACCTAAATTTCCTAAGTAATGTATGTTTTTGACCATGAATTGAGTAGTCATTCTATAAAGTTACTTCACAGAACTGCCTAGTGAACTGTGCATGTTGATGTGCTTTCACTTTTAATGTATGAATTACTTGTCTTGTTCATGTCAATACAGCCTCAGCATCCGCGTGGGGGAACACCAACGTTCCCAGATTCCCAGATATTTTTCCCAACCGTTCATGAACGGCCGGTGTCTTTCTCGCCACCACCTGTCTGCCCGCCGAAGGTGGCAGTTGCTCAGCGGCGCAAGAGCACTTCATTTTTGGAAGCCCAAACTTGCCACTTCCAGCCATTGCTGAAGACTGGCCAGAGTTTAGTTCCACCTGGTGGTAGTCCCACCAATTGGACACCAGAGGCATTCGTTATGCTGGGCACAGCAGCTCAGAGAGTCGCTGGAGAGCCTCTGCATGTGCAAGTTAATCCCGTGTTTGAGCCAGCTCCTGTCCACAGTGACTATAGATCTGGACCAACACCTCCAGAGGATGCTCACTACAGAATGCATCCAGAAGCTGTATATTTGGTGGGCATGCACTATCCATCACAGGTATCGGAGCAGTATGATCAAGTAGCTTATAACTCTCATGCGACTGAACAACATTTGAAGCAGGTCTCTGAGTCAAACCATGGGCAAGGTGGTCCTCCACAAAGCTCTGTGTTCGACTTTCAGTTGGGGCAAACATACCTGGCAAGACATGTTCAGAACCTGAGGCTGGATTCTGGGATGGGTCCCCTTTCTCCATTATCCAGTGTTTCAGCTCCTCTGAGTGCAGATCCTGCTCAGATGACGTTCCACCAGGTATTTGTTCCACACTCTGCCCCGGCTGTGCTCTCTCACAGTAGTGATGGCAGAGCGAGCTGTGTCTTTGAGTTCCATGTGCACACACCGACTTCTGCTTCAGCAGAAGGGGCAGTTTTACCCCAGCGGGTCTACAGAAGTCGCCGGGGCTCTATGGAGACCAGTCAAGAGGAATCCACTCAAGGCATAGGGTCGCACGGTCGGCTTCAGCCTGTGACAGAGGAGCAGTGTAACTATCTTGGTCCTGAGTTAGCAGGTCCCAGAGGGGGCTCTGCCAGGCGGAGCTGGCTGGAAGGAAGCCCGGAATACTCCAGTGATTCCTCACAGCTGACTTCCTCTGACACTGGCGATTTCCAGTCTCCTCCTCCTACAGGGGGGTCATCTTCTGCTTTTGGTTCAGACTTCTCATTGCCCATTGTTCAGCTGCCTCAGAAGGTATTGCAAGAGTCGCAGCTCTTCATCTGCTTCCCCCAGGGAGCCTCGACTCAGCAGGCCTTGTCCACCTCGCTTTCATCAGGACCACCTGCACTCTATCCTCAGGTTACAGGAGCAAACCCTTCCAGAATTTCTCTGCTTTTTATAAGTCATACCTTGCACTTAAAGGGGAGCCTTGCTCTTAGACTTGCTCCAAGTGGTTCTAAGTGTTAGCATTCATGGGGATGTCTTTCCACCAAGTCAGTAGTATATTAGGATCTCTTTAACAAACCAGGTTGCGATGAAATAATGAGGCATTGGCAACCATTTGGTCCGTGTTCAGCTTCAACTGAAATATTGGTAGGGCTTTTGCGTTAAGGGTAACAAATGGTCAGTGTACCTCCTGGGACTAGTTGTTCTTTTGGCAAGAGATAGCTGAAGTACCAAATTGGCTTTTAAACAATGGGTTTAATGAAGTCTATCTTCTCCACAGTTTGAATCAGCAGCGATAGTAAAACTTGCTTCGTATTTTTGTTGCTGCTTCTCAGCCATTTAATGAGAATGTGTTATTTGAAGTTGAACTTTTGTATGAATAATGTTTTATTAGACAACAACAAGGTTAATTTGGTGACTGTCCAAACTGCAAGAGCTCTTTCTAGGCTCAGGGGGGAGAAAGTGAGAAGAGAGGAATGCAAGGAGCTATATTATATATGTGTACATGGATTTGGAAGTGTACTTGCAGGATCATTAAAGAAACTAAACAATCTCAGTAGTAAATTAGTGGCACAAACAACTGTTGCTAATAGGTATTGCTTCCTTATAAGCCTGGAATATGGTGTTCTTTTAAAAAGCAAAATTTGAGGCCTGAAGCTTAGTTTGGAGGTACATATTTTATCAGCACATATAGTATTTGCACTTGCAATAGTCAGTAATGCATTTGTGATTGTGATTGTGAGGTGTATATGTATATACATTGTGCCTGCACTTGTAGTCTGAAACTTCTCATAATTTTTTTGTGAAAAGAGAGGATTTACTTTAAGTAGACTTCTCTCTTACTCCTTCTGTTCTTGGAATTAGGGGTTATCTGATACTTTAGTTATTGGAGTATTAGCAATGTTGGGATTTGTGTGATGGAACTGGAGGACAGACTTTGCTTTTTGTGGTGAGATCAAGAACTAAGTATTTAAGGTTTTCTATATGGGATAATGAAGGTCTTTTATTAAACCTGAAACAGCTTTAATCACTAGTCTAGTAGATAGCAATTTCTGTGCTGTAGTTGAGAACTTGTGGAGTGAAGCTGCTATACAAGAAGTTTGAAAACTGTGGGGATTGTTTCTCCATAAACCACCTTTGTTAAACTTCAGGAAGTGAATTCTGATGGATGTAAAATACATCTGGAAAACACAGTAAGGGATCATGATTATTTTACAGAATGTAAGTTCTGGGTTCTTTTACCTAATTCATTAGAAGAACAGAATTTGAAGCACAAACTGAGTCAATGCGAACAGATATTACAGCAGTGGGATATAGCAGGTGTTTAGATCCTAGCCAATAAGGGCTTCAAGCTTCTAAAACAGCAAAGAAAAAAATGGTTCTTTTCATTGGCAGTCTGCTTTCTCCAAAGTTTCTATAATTAAAAAAGTATGTAATTTTAATAAACCTGTTCCTTATAAGGTTTTGCAAGCTGAATGATCACAGCATTAAGGAATTTTAGTAGGTATTTCTGATATGATACATATGCACCAGATATGTTTCTTACAAAGGCAGTTCACTGAAGTGGTGCAGGCTCAGGGAACTCATTTAGAGGTCTTTGTCTAGTTGTCTCCCAGGAGCTCATAAAGAAATATAACTGTCAGAAAAACAATCATGAAAACCCTGGGATCTGATAAAAAAATGTCAGCCACAAAAATAATAATGAAAATCCATTCCATTTTCCTCTACATCTTCCACATTCATTTCTATGCCACTCATCCATTTTTTTCGTTGCTTATTCAAAAATTCTGTCTTAGCTAGAACATGAACCCCCATATTCTTCAATATCCAATTTTTGGTAGACTTTGAATGGTAGCGAGTCTGGAAATTTCTAGCCTGTATTTTGACATGCCTCTCAAAGGGAACTCAAGACATGTATGTGTACCGAGTACTTTGTTATTGGTCTAGAATTCTGTATATCTTTGATATTTTTTTAACAGTTTTATTTCCTTCTAGCCTCCTTCTATGCCCCCACCTAACTGTGTTTAGAACACATGTAAAGGTAAAAATTAATGCATCTATTTCCAGTTATCATACCAAGGCATCCTGCTCTTAAAGCATCATCGGTGGAAGAAGCAGATGGTAGGCTGATCTGTCTCATGTTGAGGGGCATGTGGGTTGCAAAGACTTTCTGTATTGGTTGTTTTGGAAGACTTAAAATGGAGTTTGGTACTTTTCCAGATTGCTCTGCTTTGTTCTGGTTTTCGTAATGGAATTTGGCCAAAAGGACTGCTTGTCCAAAATGACAGCTAGAAACCTATTCTAACCAGATCATTCCAGGCAGAAAAGATTTTTAACTGCCTGCTGCAGGAACCACAGGGGTTTTTTAAGCTGATTCTCTGTCTTTTTTTTCCTCCTCCAGACACAGGTGCAAGGCCAGTCAGCCTCAAGCAGTGCATCAGTGCCATCCCAGCCCACCCAACACACTCAGCAGGTAAGATCACAGTTCGTAAGCCCAGGACTAAAATACTTCTAGTATGGGATTCTGATGACTCTTTAAGGCCAATTGACTACCTCTGTTCCCCCTTCAACCCATGGTTTTGGACAAAAGCGAAGGAATCCTCTGGTTCTCACCAAATTTAACGTGCTATGAGATTAATTTCATTGACTTTCTGAAAATTATTTTTAGAATCATGTTAATGCTTGTTTTCACGTGTCTGTCCTTCCCAACTTCCACCTGAGCTTGCAGTGGTGGCCCCATTCAAGGGAAGGCATATCAGGATTTGCAAGTCTAGACAGGCAGACTTCATTCTCATGATTTCTTCTAACTGGAAATACTATCTTCTGCGACATTCTCTTCTCTTAACTGCCTTTTCTTCCTTCATAGAATCTTCATTCTTGTTTTCACAGGTGAAATGATTCTGTTGCAAGATTTGGGGCTGATAAATGGAGTTGTATTAGTAATGCTAATAAGTAATTGCTAAAGCTTATTGACTCAGCATATTCAGAAGAACCACTGATGTCACTTATGAAGGAGTAAAAAGTAGAATTTAAATAGGATATGCTTTAAAAACTTCTGTTGGGGGAAAAAATAGCTTCTGCCTCTTTTCCCTACTACAGAATGCACAGCAGCCAGCCTCTTCCCAACAGCCTGGACAATACCAGCTGCAGCAGTCGTCAGTTTCTGCTGGCGCCACTCCCACACAAACTGTCTCTCAAACTCAAACTTCACAGATTATGCCAATGCCTCAGGCAGCAGCTGGGACACAGGTAAACAAAATTCTTCTTTCTAGCAGAAGATACTTTTCTTCTTCACAGCTGGCAAATTCAACATGCTGCTACTTTCACTTTTGTCATCTTTTCTAAAGGTTCCAAAACATTCATCCAGATAATAGTATTCTTAGTGTACTACAACTGTCAAATTTTGTTGGAAAGTGTGTTGGAAACCCTTTCTTTCACATGTGGCCATCGTGAGTAATTTGAGGGAGGGATAGCACTTCCATGTACAAACATCATTAAATTGTCAAAAATATAATGAGGCATATTGATGAATGGTACATTATGAATGGATTTTCAGGAACTTGTCATTTCTCTGCTTCCCATACAACGTCTATCTTCTGCACCATTATGTGGGTAAAACATGTTCACTTATTTAGGTAGTGAACCATAAGGACTGCCTTCTCCACTCTGTCATCTTTCTTATTCAGCTCTTCTCCTTTACTCCCTGGTCAAGAAGCTTCTGTTACTGAGTATTACTTCATTTTGGCTCATATCTCTATCTTGAACATGTGAGCCTTGATTTTGTTTTTAAAATTGTTGTTTTGTTGCTTGTTCATCTAAACTGCCTTTCCAGTTGCATCGTTCGCTGGCTTTAATTGACATATCCCCTGCCATTCTCTGAATGCTGGCACAGTGGCTTTTCGTTCTCCGTTGCTGTAGTCCCCATATCCATAGCTGGCAGATTTGTTGAGAGATTTGCACTTCTTTCCTGTGAGAAGGCAGGCTTGGCTCTGGGGACAGAGTTGAGGGGAATTGGATTCTGTTTATGCACAAGTCAGTGCTTCAGGGCGTTTGAATGTTGCTCTTTCACCCTCTGTGGGTGTCTGTTTCAAGAGCCTGTTGAGTTCTTCAGGGGAAGTGTTGCGAAGTGAGGACCTTTTGGAACTCCAGCCAACTTCCCAGCCACTCTGCCAACTGTGCTCCCTACCCACTTTAACAGAGTGCTGTAACTTGAATAATTCTTTCTTTGACTAATGTGTAAAAACTCTGCTTTCTGCAACCCTGCTTTAAAAAAAAAAATCTATCTCTATTTTCTTTACCTCCCCAGCTTCCTGTTTCCCAACCAGTGTCGATCATCCAAGGCGAGCCTCAATTACCTGTTGCAGCACCTTCTCTCCCTCAGCCTTCAGTTGCCCCATCAGTCCCCATTGGCTCTCATTTTCTACCCATGGGACAGCCCTTGCCAACTTCCATGGTTCCCCAGTTCTCAGTCTCTCAGTTGCCTGTAGCAGCTCCTCATGTGTCAGTGGCTCAGCCAGGTTTCCAGTCACTGCCCATTTCAATGGCAGCTGGCATGAATCAGCCATTGCTCACGCTGGCAACATCTGCTGCAGCAACCGCTGTCCCTGTAGGATCAACTGTTGTCCCTAGCCAGCTTCCCGCACTGATGCAGCCTGTGGCTCAGTTGCCCAGCCAGGTTCTCCCGCAGCTCCTACAGCCGGCTGTCCAGTCCGTGGGATTGCCGGTCAGCATTGGACAAGCTGCTGAAGCTTCGCTTCCTGCTGGAGATGCTCTTTACCAGGTATTGTTGCAAGCCAGCAGAGCTCTTCTCCACATTTTTACCTGTTCCTCTAAGGTACCAGATCTGAACGGTGTACCCTGGCCAACTGACTTCTCATAAGAGAGCCATTAAGCCACCAAGATGAATTCTGTTGTGTGGTAAAGGACCATTTTAAGGAGGGGAAAAAACCCCACCCTAACCGCTCCTTGGACACCCTGGCGTTTTGAGCTTTTCAGATTTGGCAATGGAATTTGTCTAAAATGACAGAATCATAGTGCAGGACTTTTGTTTGTCCAGTGTTTCAATCACTGTGTGAAAGAGAACAGCTATATACACAAGAGGTCTGTCAACTTGGGGGGGGGGGGGATTGTAATTTTTAAAATGAGATGCATGTTGGAAAGAAAATAAATGGCAGCATATTCAGTAATGTCAGTATTTCATTCCAAGTCTGGGAAGGGGTGGGGGGGATGACGGACATGGATTTTCTAGAAATACATCAGACAGATGGATCTTGAATGTCACGTAAGTACCTGATGCTAGTCATGAAATGCTAGACTGGGCACAGACTGCTTCAGCTACTTTGTGTGATGACTGTAAAAATGGCAATCTGAATAGTGACAAAAATAGTGACTGAGCATATGATTGTTCTTCTAGAACAAAAATTGTGTAGATGTAGAAATTCTGTACTGGGATTATAAGGATGCTGTAGAACAGAAACAGTGTGTAGGAATGTTCCTTGGTTCTTGGGTCAGCTCATCACAAGAGGACAGGGAGAACACAGGAGTGTTTTTGCTATTAGTCTCAAGAATCAGCAGCAGTTGCATAACATCATCTGAGCAGTAGCTGTTCAGCCTGAAAATTCTTCAAACTCAGTTCAAGTCTCAGGCCTTAAAATACTAAGCCAAATAGGCAACCACGAGAGTTGGGAGATGAAGGTTGTTTTGCCTAAGACTTGGAACTTTGAGTGGGAATTTGCTTGTTCAAGCATGCTGACTTGCAAGTTGAGCTTTGGCTATGTGAGCAGTTTGCTCTGTTTCTCTGGGAAGATTTTGGGAATGCCTGAACAAGTACAGAAGGTTGGAACATGCCCCTGAAACGGATATTTTTTTTTTTTTTCCTCTCATTACCTAATTAGCTCTGACATTCACTGACTTGATTCCCTTATTTCTATTACAGGGCTTCCCATCTCGGCTGCCGCCTCAGTACCCAGGGGACTCGAATGTTGCATCTTCCTCTGCTGTGGCCTCTGTTAGCATTCCTTCTGCTGTGCTGTCCCCTCCCTTACCCACAGATGCAATGGCTCAGCCAGGCTATCTTGCTCCTGTTGTGCAGCCGTATGTGGAGCAGAACGTTTTAGTTCCCATGGGCAGCCTAGGAGGACAGGTTCAAGTGCCCCAGCCTACAGTGAGTTTAGCACAACAGGCCTCATCTGCCTCCTCGCAGCAAGCAGCGTTGGAGGTAAATATGTTGACTATAATGTAACAATACATTTAGGGTGTTTGAATTATGCAACAATGTATGTGTGTGGGGAACTAATCCCTTCCATGCTTGTCTTCAGTCTGAAATTAATATTTCAAATGACCTTTTTCTTACAGCAGAATGTCATGCCAATGTGGGGACCTTGTTGCCACTGGCTGTTCTGTTGGGAAGTGAGTGTGCATCCTGCAGGCAAAAACCTGTTAACACTTCACTTCTTGCTAGTAACCGTAGAATATTTTTGCCATATCAAAGACAAACTGCAACCGATAGCCTTTGAGAATCTCTTGTTATGCCTGTTCTCTGCAGCGTCGTTCTTGCTAGGGAGAATTTGAATTGTCTGTGTGCTGCATTGGCTTGACTTTTTTGCACATTCTGTTATAAAGACTGTGGCTGCATGGCAAACTGTAGTGACACATAGCAGTAGAAAGGATGGCTGATTTCCTCTCCCTACCCCTCCCCAGGTGACGGGGAGTGCTTTTAGCTTTACAACTGATTTGGGAGGAAACATTGAAGGCTACTGGGTTACTTGAAAAGGAATGGTGTTCTTTGTGGGGGTTCTTGATGTAGGTTTCTATCCATAGGGTTCTCAGGGAGTCTCGCAGACTGCTCCTTCAGAGACCCTTCCAGGAACACAGCCTGCTCAGTCTACCCCTTTGGCTTCCTCTATGGATAGGTAAGCATTGTTTTCTTTTCACCAAACTGAATTTCAATTTCATGTGTTAATTATTCTTCCTTGGATGATCTTTAGGTATCTTTTTTCACCAGGGATTTTTTTTTTCACTGAGAGTGTTCTTGGGGATGTGAGGAAATAAACTTCCTAGAGGAAAAATAGGCTTATGAGAGGTGGAGTAAGTTTTGATTTACAGCAGGGTTTGGAGGGAGTAAGTGATTTAACTTCTAATCCTTTTTTGTCATGTCAAATGGATCATAAGGGATGTTTTTTCTGTCCTTTTGGCACTTAAACAGAACTCAAACTCCAAATAGCTTAAAAACATATTCAGAAGATAAATTCGTACAACTCAGCTTGCAAGAGATATGTAGCTAAATAATTACTATTAGAATTGCTATTCAAGCAACCTTAAGTGTTGACAGGACTCTTCTCCCCTACTCTGTGATTAACAGACATCTACTGCTATGCAGAAAAGAATACCACCTGGCAGGGTAAACTGTATTGTTGCAGTTATGGAGTGCATGGATTCTAATGTGAAGTTGCTTTTTTTTTTTTTTTTTTTTTTTTAGTGCACATTCTGATGTTGCTTCAGGATTGAGTGATGGCAATGAGAATGTTCCAGCTTCTAGCGGAAGGCACGAAGGGAGGACTACTAAACGTCATATGCGGAGATCTGTCCGCAGTCGCTCTCGCCATGAGAAGACTGCTAGGCCGAAACTGAGAATTCTAAATGTGAGTATTTTTTTATTTTAGTGACAATTTGGTAGTGATGATGCCTTTTTTGAGCTTCAAAAAGTTTCTTTTCCTTTGAGGAATGTGTGTGTTCTGTGGTCTTGTTCTGTGCCCCCCTGCCCTGCCCAAAGCCTACAAGCTATCTTCTGCTTCTGGACTCAGCATTCAAAACATCATCTATTAAGAGTTTTTTGGAGCATTAGATATGGCAAAATTGACTTGCTTAGCCACCAGTGATCCCACAGCCTATTGCAGAATATTTGATATATCCTCAGAAAAGATGATGCTGTATATGGCACCATTTATTAGGCTGGAAGGAGAGAATGTATTTGTATTAGACCAGTACTGTTGGTTTGTCTCCATGAGCTTTAAAGCAAAAGTCTTAGATGCTCATGCTTTTGGTTTTGAACTATTGTTTTCTTTGCTTTAGGTTTCAAATAAAGGTGATCGGGTAGTGGAATGCCAGCTAGAGACACACAATCGGAAAATGGTTACTTTCAAATTTGATTTGGATGGTGACAATCCTGAGGAAATAGCTTCAATTATGGTAAGATACGTTGAGAGATGAAGAATGGAATCCAGTCTTAATCACAGTAGTAATATAAGCAGTCTTACTTTCTCATTTGTGTTTCAGAATTGTTCTTCCATGCAGCATGGCATGTGCTCACCTTACTGGTATGCAAGCACAACTAGAAACTCTGGGCACAGTCGTATACCAAACTGGCAATTAATATTGCATGTTCAGTTCACGTGAAAATTTGTGTCAGCTTTTACCTTAGAATTGTGGTTTTATCAAGTAAACCTGCTAATGGTTTTTTGCAGTCTAGTTTTTTGAAACACTGCAAACAACTTTCTGAAAGGGCCAGGTTAAACATATTCTGTTTGCTTTTCTAAGAGCAAGCAGTGCTAGATCTTTAAAATTTAAACTTCAGCTTTGAGTCTTTTGCTGTTGTTCTCAACTGAAATGTACATTACATTAGATAGGAGGAACTGCAGTAAGATAAGGCTGCTAATTCTAAATTTCACTGTGCTTAGCAAAGATTGAGGTGACAGTCTGATGAAGAAGCGAGATTGAATGTTGTTTCACAGCAAAGAATAAACCAGGGCAAATAATTCTGTGCTGGGGGATAATTTTTAGAAACAGTTCTTTTTCTCTGAGGTATTGCCATCTTTATCTTGTGCATAGGAACAGTAACACCAAGAGTAAATTATGGTTATTCAGTACATTGTTTTGAAATAATTTGTGGAAAATTATTGTTGCTTTGTTCTCTTTACAGGTGCAAAATGAGTTTATTTTAGCAACCGAGAGAGACTCATTCGTAGAACAGGTACGAGAGATTATTGAGAAAGCAGATGAAATGCTAAGTGAGGATGTAAGTGTGGAGCCAGAAGGTGATCAGGGTTTGGAGAGTATGCGGACAAAAGATGATGGCTTCTTTCCAGGATCGCAGGTACGTAAAGGATAGATTGCCTTAGCTATTTCTATTTTCCATTTTGGGTGGTATGGTTTTATGAGTAGAGCCAGCTAGAAATAGAAACTTCCTTTCTTGAGAAATACCAAGCTTAATAATTAAATGAGAAGACAAACAGAGAAAGCTTTGTATCAGTGAGAGCCTGAAATTCATTTAGAAAGCTAAAAAACGTAGACCTCTTGCTTTTTGATGTGTTCTAACGCTTCTGAAGCTGCTGAATCTCCTAACAGTCCACTAAACAGACAATCTTAAATGCTGAGGCTTCTTGGATTTGAGGTTATTATGAGGTAGGACACTAAAATTGCTAGCCCCGTGCTCTCACTAAACACAGAGAGCCTGGACTCAGGCCCTCTACCCAGTGAGCTACTAAGATATTGGATGGCTCAGTTAGGAACCACAGGTTTTGAAACTGGTTGCTGGGAATAAAAACATGACATTTCCTGAATCTCTGCCTTATTTCCACCCAGAACTAGTTTGAAACATCCATTTATCTGTGGAATGTTTAAGGAAATCAGTTGGACTTCCTATTAACAAAAGAGTGTTTAGATCCATTTGTTATATTGACAGTCACTAAGCTGAGGAGCTGTAAAAGCACTGTAGCTGACATTTATGTGGGCAGAATTCCACTAGTTTGATAATGGTGCTTGGGTCCAAGGTACTGCTTACCTTAAATGCCCACATTTCAGTAAGCTAGCATTTTAAGAACTATCTTGTGGGTTTCTGTTTCAGAATAGAACTTTAAATTTTATCTTACTTTACAGAAATTAGAGTTCAAACAGCCAGATCCTACATCTTCCATGCCACAAAGAATAGGTAAGTCTTTTGTGATTTTTTTTCGGCAATTACCTTTTTCTGTTTCAGCGGATGGGTGCAGCCAAGTTTTTATTTTGTATGATGGAGTGCACATTCCATATTGCAGGTTATGTATTTAGTTACAGCTATGTATCACTAAACATCTAACTTCTTTCTGTTTAGGGGTTCCTCCTAGCTCCTTTACCCAGGTTGTCCATTCTGCAGGAAGACGGTTTATTGTCAGCCCTGTCCCTGAGAGTCGGTTAAAAGAACAGGGCTTTTTCACATCTGCTGTTCCTGGAGGAAAAGAAACTCCGGATATGGGTAGGTTATCTAAACTCTTAAAATCTGATGGCTAAGGCATGTTCATCAAAACTCCAAAGCTAGTTAACTAAACTGTTCCTAAAGACCTCTTAAAGTACTTGGGGAAGTAAGGAACTGTCTGCGCCGGTAAGAAGTGATTATAATTTGGGTGATACTATGCGGGATTCACGGGGAAAAAAATGCTGATGGGCTGTCTGCAAGACTCTGAAACCTTAATTCTGTATTTTAATGTAAGCCTGGATTTGTAATTTTTTATTATGCTGAGAGGTAAATGTGGTCTTAGTCTAGCAATAGACAATAATACTGTGATGAACTCTTCCAGGTGGACTCACATTTTTCTGTTCTTCCAGTTGCTGCATCTCCACTGCATGGTCCTGGAATGAATCTCTCCCACTCGGCATCATCACTGAGCTTGCAGCAAGCTTTCTCTGAGATGGGGCATGCTCAAATGACAGAAGGACCTAGTACAGCTCCTCCAGTGTTCAACCAAACAATACCCCCATTTCCACCTGCACTTTCTACCATAGCGGGCAGCGGTGCACCTCCTGTGTCTGTGGCTGCTTCTTCAATATCTGTTCCCTCCAGCACAGGTGTTTCTCTTCCAGGATCTGTTACTTTGCCTGCAGAAAGTGCAACTGTTGGAGTTGCACCAAGTGCAAGTGTGCCAAGCTCTGTTTCTCCACCTCCAGCCTCACAACCTGGACAGCAATCGACAGGTGTCGCTTCCAGTGTGAGCGCCCCTGCTTCTTTCTCCTTACCTACCACATCCCAGCCTGCTCAGCCAGTAACTGGAGACATTGCCCCCAGTATCAGCACATCATCGTCTTTGGCACTGCCATCTACCCAGGTTCCTGGTGTCACTGGTCTTGGTGTCATTGCACCAGCTGTGACATCTCAGTCTACTCCTCAGATTGTAAGTAGTATGGCAGCACCACAGACATCTGTTGCTCTGTCTCTGGCTCAGAATGTGGCTTTGCAGCTTCCTCAGCTTAGTAGCAGTGGCTCTGTCTCCAGTCTGGCAGAAACAACAGTTGTAAGTGCTCCACAGTCACTACCTGAGAGTGGGCAGTCTATGGATAAATCACAGCTCTGCAATGCAGCTGGCTTATCTCTTCCAATCTCTGCACCTTTATCATCCTCAGTAGCAACAAGTGTATGTGGTTCAGTCACTCAGCCAGTGATACATCCCTTACTTGTCCCATCAGGAATTACATCAACACCTGTCCTACCCCAGATTCCAGGTGCAACACCCATGTTGCCCCAGGTTCCCTTACCTGGTGTCTTACCACAACCAGTCACTAACTTGCCTGCAGTACAGCAAACTTTGATACACAGCCAGCCTCAACCAGCTCCGTTACCTAATCAGCCTCATATTCACTGTCTGGAAGCTGATGCTGATGCTCAGTCTAAAGCTCCTGGTATTGATGATATAAAGACCCTGGAAGAAAAGCTACGGTCTCTCTTCAGTGAACATGGTAACGTGGGAACAGTGCATCCATCAGTATCTCTGGAGACATCATTGGTAATGGAAACTACAGTTATTCCTGGGATACCAACCACTGTTGTTGCACCAACGAAACCCCTGACATCCATTAGCACTTGTATACCTCCAAGCAGTTTGCCTCTTGGGTCAACCGGCTTGCCAGTACTGACGCCAGTTGCCACTCCTGGGCAAATGATCACCCCAGTCAGCTATATTTCGGCATCGAGCAGCATTGCAACAGCAGTAGTGAAACCAGGGACCTCTCCTTCAAAGCCCCCTCTTAGCAGGGTACCGGTAAGAAATGCAACATTTGTGTGAATATTGAAATATTGTAGGAAACAGCCTTCTTGAGCAGAATCCCTTTTATAAAGCAAAATATTTATTCAGGCAGAGGTGTCTTCATTTAATATAATACTGAAGGTTTTATACTCTGATTGTTTTTATTTGTCCCAAGAGGTGTTTTATTTTGTTCGTATTGGGGAAAAAAAAGTCCAGTTCTATATTGTGCCTCTGAGAGAGCTCTCTAGTGTTGTTGTTAATTTTTCCTACTCCTAAACTACAGTGTGAAGCAACTGTAGTTTCGGTTTTTGTGGGTTTTGTTGTTGTTGTTTTTTCAAATAGAATTTGGAAGGCTTGCTTTAAAAAGCTTTTTATCTTGTACATGATCACTACAATGAGAAAGGGTGGTTGTATGTTTCACAAAGTAGTCAGGATAGCTTAGCTTTTCTTCTTATCATTAGCCAGTTCCTCGAAGGTAAGGGTGATCCTGACTGAAAGTTTGTTTTGTTTTGTTTTTTAAAAGTCCTCTGCTGCTTATGTGGTGCCTGGATGCTCTTTTCCTTCCAAATGTTAGATTTGTGAAAGCAGAATTTTGAGAAGTTTAAAAGATATCTCGATATCCAAACCCAAACTTTTTTGTTTACTGAATCATGCTCTTGAAACAAACACTCTTTCATAATAGTCATGACCTCTAGTAACCACTTGAGATGTGTTGTGGATGTTGTTACCTGCTCACTAACCAGATGTATCAATATGTGAAATTAGACCACCTATTTTCTTTCAGATGGCTCCCCATCTTGGGAGACAGTGCATTTCAATATTTTAAACTATTGGTAGCCCTTTCCTTTTCAAAGTTAAATGGAAATAGGTTGAAGAAACTTTCAGGTGTTTAACAAACCAAAAACCTTAATACTCACTTCTTTTTGTTTCTGTAACGTTCTTTTCCACTCACCAATGCTTTGTGTTGGTCATCTTTAGCCAGCCTTGCTATTAACCGGTTTCAGGCCACTCGAATTGAGCTAATGTGCTTAGCATCTCCATTCATTAGTAGTCTTTCCCTTGTACTCTTTGTAGTCAAACAAAGTAGAAAATTTCCACTATGGAGGAGTGGGAATATGTGCAAAGGAAGTTGGAAGGAAATCTAGACACAAAGGCATTCATTTATATTGGAATGAAGTTGAGAATTAGAAGAGAAAGATTAGAAAATGATAAAAACTGGTATTGATTCAGGAGCAGTTAGAAACCTGCTAATTGCAAACTTGTAATTACAAAGGCTTAGGTTTAAATGTAATAAATGTTTGGGGGTTTTGATTGCCAGTTGTGGAAAATCTACCTCCTCTCTGAAGTTTTCACTTATCAATTAGTTTGGTTTTTTTCAAAGCTTCATTCTAGTTTCACTTTCTGTGTTGGTTTTGAGCTTTAAGGAGCTTATTGCTTCAGTTTTCTGGGGTTTACTAAACTCTGTATTTTATTTTGTTTATGTCCAACCTGTTAACCTAGACAGTTAAACATGTTTTGACTTGTCTTATGTATTTATTTAAAGTATGTATTGCCTGTTATTTATAAACTAAATGATTAACTTACCACAGCTTAAAAATTCATCACGCCTCAGAACAGGTAATGTCCATGTGTATGTTCCTAGTGCACAAAAAAGCTGAGGTAATGCAACTTGGTGTATTTCCTGCTGAAACTTTTTTGGAAGGATAGATAACTATGGAGTCTATCTGCACTGGGCAGTTATTACTGCAATTTGAACCATTAGTTAAGCTGTGGTAACATGACTGCAAGCTAGAACTGGTTCTGCTTGTTGAGGACTGGAGTAGACTTTGGGCCAATTACCCATATCCAGCAGTGCTCACTGTTGTACAAGGGAAGCCAGCTGACCAATGCTATAACTCATAAGGCTATCATGTGTTTCTCAAACTTCAAAGTCATGGTCAAGCCTCAAGATTCCAGTTGAGAATAAGAACTGCAAATTGTGTAGTGGATCACTTAATTTTCCCATTTCCCTAACAATGGAAATAACTAACTGGAATGTGCTGTCTGACCTGGCAGGGAGGCTTTGATGCCTCCTTCTAACCTTTCCAGTCTCTCTAACGTCTTCCACATAACCTGGGTGACTTCCCCCTACTCAGTTGCATGGCCTGGTCATCTTCTGTGGGTCATCAACACCCTTCAGGATCAAAAGAAGTGATGGATCAAGAGATTGGTGTGAGAGGTCTAGAAATCTGCTTCTCAACAAGTGCAGACATCCTCAGGCATGACAGTTCCTGTTCTCAAGTCCTGTTGCTTGGATCAATTTGTCAGAAGCATGAAGCTTGCTGTTGCTAATGGGCAGTTAACATAGATCTGTTGTAAGGACATTGAGTGCATTCTTGGACCCTTCTTGGAAACTTAATTGCTTTTTGAAATAATTATCGTAGCATTTCTTGCAGACTTGAAAATAATAACGCCAAGATGCTTTGTTTCTGGATGCAGCAGCTTGTTTAAACTGGACATTGTGGCTGCTTAAAGATAATCTGGATTAAAAAATAAAACAAAAGCAAACAAACGACTTCCCCCAGCTTTGTTGCAAAAATCCCTAAAGACTCTATGCTAACTCTCCAAGAAGTAGGTCTCTGCAGAAAAAAATGCTGAGGCTTCTGTTGTATGACATGACTGACTGTAGCTTGGTATCTGATCCTTCTGTTGTTCCGTGTCTGATGGACTCGCGTTTCCTCTTCATTATCCATAGGTGCTACCAGTAGGTTCTGAACTTCCGGCTGGCACTCCATCCAGTGAGCCGCTGCCACCTTTTCCAGGACCTTCACTAACTCAGGTGCTACACAACTTGACAGATTTTATCTGCTGCTTTTCCTTTCAAAGAGCATGTTTCGATTAAACTCTCCATTGCATGTTATTAATGCCTTTGTTTTTCTTTTCTTTTGACTGAGTAACCCCTTTTGTGTAACTGTAGCAGTAGCCAGAGTCACTTCAGCACTGGATATGTAGCTTGCCCTTCAGGATGCAGTACTCAGTGTCTGAAGTACAGGAACAATTAATCAGGCTTTGGGTTTTTTAGTGTGTTAACCTGAACTTTAGAGGGTTTTTAAAAACATAACACAGGTGAACGTGCATAAAACTTGAAACTGTTTTCTTCTTGAAAAGTGTATAGTAGCAAAATAATAGCTCTTTAGGAAGCAATATATACTGCAGTTAAGTGTTAATGAAAATGCAAAATTGCTGGTGTTGTGAATTTCTGTTCTGGGTTTTTTTGCGGCTTTTACTACATTCTGATTTCACTAGGCTTTCAGATTTGCAAAAGGTATTTGAAGCTCCTGATCATAAACATGAGTTGAAATGTAACAGTGGCTTCCCTTGCTCAGATTCTGTCCTTGTATGCAATAGTTAGCTTGGATATTTTGTATGTAAATTGGACAGGTGATCAGCTCAAGACCATGAAGAATAAATAGGTCTTCACGTCTGTCTAAAAAATACACATGAGCCCCTTGCCCCATAATTGAAAGAACTGTATTAAGACAAAACTGTTTCATGGATCTTCTACATGCTGTGTAATGAGATGTAACATGGGAACACTACACTTCAATATGCAAAGAAAAGCTGAAAAAATAACTGAACAAAACCCATGAGACCATGAGGTAGAGTTGTGCTGCTTTTGAAAGAAGTTCGTGAATAAACACAAAGATGACTTTCTATAGAATTGTATTAAAGTACACTTGGCACAGAATTATCACCCCAATTTTATATTCAAACCTGTAAAGAAGATAGGATTCAAGTGAGTACGTAGTGGTGCCTTCTTAAGGCTCAGAGTGCTTTTGTCTCAAATCTAGTGTTTTCCAGTGTACGTGTGCTTCCTACAGTATTAACCTCTTCTACCTGTGGCTTAAGTCTGTAGTGAATAGTCTTAGAATATGTGTCCAAAAGCTTCACTTGAATTGGAGTCTGTCCTTTTATAGAAAGGAATTATTCACTTAAGTCTTAACTATAATTTTAAAGTAATTCCAATAAAATAGCTGCAGCGTGAAAACTTGTACAATACTTATTAGCATTATGGCCTGATTTTTTTTTAATGCAGACTGAGCTAACCTTGACCAAGTCTTCTCCATAACGCTCTGGTAACATTCTCCCTCTCATCTCTTGCAATGGCGGTCTTGAATTCAAGTTTTACCTGTGGAAGGGAATTTAAAATAAACTTTAGAAGTAATTTTAGTTCTTTGCAAGATGTTCCTTTTTTGGGATTTACAATAGCTTGATGAGAAAACTTCTATCTGAAAGGATTTAAGCTGACTCATACAAAAGAATAGTGTTAGAAAATTGCAAATTTAAACTGTGCTAAGGCAACTTTGGTTAATGAGCTGTCATGGCTCATGTTCTACAGCTAAAACTATAAAAACTGAATTACATGTATTAGGGTACTAATCTTCAAAGATACTATTGGAATAGTATTTCCATTTCTTTCTTTCACATGTGAGAACTATAGTATTGCCTGGTTCTGAAGACATGAGGAGAGTTGAGCAGCAGGGCATATTAGCTGCTTTTGTGTAGTTTTATGTTGGTTATGACATTAATAGTCCCTTTTAAACTTTCCAGCTTTTTTCCTCCAGTGCTCTCTATGCAGAAGCTCTATCTTGATTCAGCAGTTTCTCTTATTCTCCCAGTAGATGTCATAATTTTGTGATCTGTTAAGAATCTCTCTTAGGCGGTCTAAGATTTACGTAGAGTGTGTCCTGGAGGTTAGGAAGGAAACAGTCTAGCGGACCTAAGTTACAGTGTGCTGAAAGTTGACATCTCATCCTGTCTATTGCTACTCTACCACCTTCTTGGTCTTCATCTGATGGAGCAAATGCAAACCAGTGACCTTAATCGAGGAGTCCTTGCAGGTGGCCTCTGTGTCCAGGACTACTTTTTGGTTGTCTCTTCTTTTTAATTAAAGCATATTTAAATCTTTTGTAAGCAATGAGAATCAGTCCACTACTTGGAAAGTCTTATTCAGTGTGAAAAGGCAGAAACTTGTGCTTTCTATGTAAGAAAACTATGAAAGTGAATGTATGGCTCTTGAAACCTGTCATGAAAGGAGTGCTGCTGTGTTTGGTTTTATGCAGTTTTTCTAGCAGGCTGAATGAGGACCATATTCCTGCCCTGTGTGTAATCAGGAAATGCGTATTTTCTGCCTCCAAACTGAGCAAGAAGCTGAATGACTTATGTAGAGCTATAAGATGATAGTGTTAGCAAGCAACACGTTTTTTTCCTCCAACTTCTGGAGGCAGAAGCTGGTTTATGCCTTTCAACCAGTTCTTTCTGAAGCATGGTTTTGCTGAAGAAGAGAGAGCAATTTGGTGATAATTCTTATCTATGTTCTTACCATGAGCAAGGGTAGCAAATGGATCTAGAGGCAGCTGTTTAAAATCAGTCATGCTAAATTCATAGTCCTTTCTATGGTCATTGCTCGGAACTGGGTATATTAGTAATATTTTCCCCCAAACTCAAAGCCCTTGTAGCCACTTACGTGACTCAAGCCACTGTACCACTGCAAAAGGCTTCTTCCTGTTTGTCATAGGTATTTCTGGCAGGATTTGTCATATGGAAGAGGCACAACTATAGGTCCCTTGCTTCTGCTCCTTTGCAAACAGCCTACCTAATTTTACTTCTCATTTGAACTCTAAAGCCTGTCTAGGAGTGAGACAAAATTGGAGGAGACCAACTGGATCAAATCTAATTGACTGTTGAGAGCATTTGCTGCTATCACGTAATACTATCTGGAAAATTACTGGCTTGTCTTTAAGTAGATAGGCTTTCCTTCCTTACTGCTTCTGTCAGTAGCTCATTACACAACTTTTTTTTTTTTTTTCTTTCCTTAGTACCAGACTCCTAATTTGCGGACAAAGTACATGTCATCTCAAGACCATTTTTGGACAGTTTGTTCCTTAGTCTTAAATACCTGTTCTGTTTATTCCCTAATTGCTTTTTAAAGTGTATTTAGATTAATTTTTCAAGGTTCATTTTGGTACCTGTGTTCCATAAGGAAATCTTTATTTCCTGATCATTCTGATGTCTCAGCTCTTTGACTACTTGAAGCAAATATCTTCTTGTGAGCATAAGTGATGAGAATTATATAGTATTTCAGGTGAAATGTTCTCTTTATTTTACAGTATTATGGAATTAAATTAGCTCACTTCTCTGCTAAGCATTTGGATTTCTGAATGGAGTCAGAAGTCTGCATCTTCTTGTGCTTTTTTTTTTTTTGATGGAATTGATACAGGGTTTATTGTTCTTAGATTTTTTTCTGGTTGTGTTTTGAAATCCACAATTCAGGAAGACTGTCATCCTGGCAACCTGTTTGAAAGCATCTTTATGCTATTGTGTACCTCTAACTTTCAGTTTTTGAAAGTGGAAGGTAATGTTTTTATGTTGCTGTGACCTTAGCTTCAGTTCTAAAAACAGATCTAGCTTTTTAATATGAAAGACATGGAAAGATTAGTGATGCTGAAGTTTGGATGGAAATTTCTACTCCATAGGGTCAGAATTGTAACTTAGTGATATCTGCCAACACTTTCTTCTTCCTTATGCATCTTACGGATATGGCCTTAATTATTAATTTTGAGTGAATCCAAATTTTTCTTATCTTTAAGATATTTTTAGGTATTTTTATTCTCTTCCCCTCACCACTTCAGTTGGCCAAGTTTGAAAAATATTGCCTGCTCAAACAGCTGAAATCTAAGTAATAAGAGAGATTCTGCCTTTCTTCCTTCCTCCTCTTCAAGTCAATCCATCCAGATAGCTTCTTTGAGGGAACTTGTAAGTGTGTGGTTGGGGTTTTTTTTTGTTTTGTTTTTTAATTTAAATTTGTGTTATCCTCACTCTTGCTTTATCCATGCTTGCTTTTGAAATTATGGCATCTTTTTGATTTTTTTTTTTTCTTCTCTTTGACTTACTTTCTTCAAGATTTTAGATATTCCATAATACAAATTATCTCTGTTATCCAACCAAAAAATGTAGAACTTGGAGGCTTGCAGCATATTTACTCAGTTCTTAAAAGCAGGAATGCAAATTTCATGCTAACTTTAGGAAAACCAGAAGTTCCAGTTAATGCTTCTTTTCTGTTTTTTACCAAATATGTTGCTTAAATTGTTTCCAGTCTTACTGTGCTATACATGTTAAATGTAAACATGTAGGAAGGGAACATGGTAGAAATGTCAAAGCTGTACTGACTGCTTTAAATTTTAGTATTAAATATGGCTGTTTCTCAAATGTGATGTATTTCTCCTGAGCTGGGACAGCTGTTTACTCTTTCCTTTCTCAGTCCCAACAGCCACTGGAAGATCTGGATGCTAAGCTGAGAAGAACCCTTAGTCCAGAGACTGTTCCAGTGACATCTGCTCCTGCCTGTGTACGTTTGCAATGTTGGCAGTTTAGTAGTCTTGAAAAACTGCAGTGTTTTCTCAAGGTCATGCTCTTAGGTCACTGTTTTTAATATCACTACACCAGTCTTTAGACTTTTAAAAATAAAACTGACGAGTCATCTTCCAGTTCGTGGGACTGAGTCAACCAAAACAGGAAAAATCTGTATGTTGCAATAGATTACGTATTTCCTGAGGCTGGTTTTGGTATTAGTTCTTAATCCAGCTTTTCTGGTGATGTCATTAATGTCACCAAATGAGAAGGAAAAGTGGCTATGGAATAAGGGGGAAGAGCACTAAACAAGCAGTACGTGATATGTCACTCTTAATTTGGGAGGGATGTTTAAAGTAGGGACCTGAAATTTTAGAAGACTATAATAATAAACTTTGTTATAGAATGAAGATAATAATTGACATTGTGATCTCCAAGTGGCTACTTATGCATTACTTTTGCAGAGCAGAAATGGGTGTTCTGCTGACAGCCTCATGGTAGTACGGCATGCAAAATGTCTTGCTGATACTGCTTGCTTTGGAGGTTAAAAACTCTGCATTTGTCTTGTTGTGGGTCATACTTTGACCCTAGTGGACATAAAAGATTGTGTGGTATGCAGTATGGTGGATTTGTTGACATTCAATGAAATTGCCAATTCTTTTAATTTAATTTTATTTTGTTTTCCCCCTTGAACCTGTAGTCTGTGCCCTCAGTAGCATCTACAACGGTTACCGGGCTGGTGTCCACAGCAACACAGTCTCTGAAGGATGGTAAGACAGCCTTGATTATTTTAGATGGTTTCTCAGTATGGAGATATAATCCAAAATTGAACAGACTAGTAACTTGGAAGGATAGAGCCTTTTTCAGTAAGTCATACAATGACAATTTCTTAAGGATCGTATTAGTTTTTAGTAACTAGGCTGAAAATTTTCACTGTAGTCCATGAGAGGGGAATGACGTATATGCATATTATAGTCACTCATTTAGGATTTAAAGCTGTCCAAAATGCTAAATTAAGACTTGTAAAGAATCTCCAGTATGCTGCTAAGGTACAGCTTCAGGATTTGAAGGATCTGTTTTCTGTCACGTGTTATGTTCTCAGCAACAACAGTAAGACTTATCTTGCATCATCGTGTTGTGTTCAATGTGTAGGATACCTCTCCTTCACCTAAGAGTGTTTCCTTTCTATTTAAATAGAGAAATGAAAGTTAAACTACCAAAAATTTAAGAAAGGTAGTAGGAAAACCAGACTCCCTTCTGGCTGCTTTAGAACAACTGAAGGTTGACTGGATGATCAACAATTGAAGTCTGAATGATCAATGACTTTCAGATCTAAACCAAGTGTAATTGTTGGGGGTGGGTGGGGGGGACCCAACAGCTTGCAAAATAGTTGAGAGTTTCCTGTCAGTATTCTCCTAATTGTTTTAATTTTAAAAATCTTTTTTAAAAAAAACTGTTGATGTGGTACTAAAATTATTTCTGAGCTATCTAGTAAACATTATTTAACTTGCATGTGCCTCTGAAGTTCAATGACAAACCTGCAAAAGCTAATAAAACCAGTAGGAAAATAAAATATTCCCATTTTGGTATGTTGGTAGTGAACTATACTGTAGAACTCATTTGTCTGCTAGAAAATGAGTTGGGTTTTGCCTGCTGAAGTTTTGAAGGTAAAAGTAAACAAACTGGGAAGTTGCTTAATAAGCACAGCAAGTTGTCCAATAGAACTGATTTAAAACCAGAATGTTATTTCTCAGCTTTGTAACCTTATACTGCCAGTGCATACAGCAACAAAATTAGGAGCTGACACCTGAGAATCCAGCTCTGAAAGCTTCAGATAGACTGCTTTGAGTAAATGTGGTTTATAGCATTTCTTCAACTTACCATTTTTATATTAATAAATTGTCCCCAGCATTTGTGAAAGTTAGGTAGTCATTGTGGGTATTGAATTAAAATAAGCTTTTTCTTACATAAATTCCAGTTCTGTTTTTTATTCTTTGGCTATTTCACATCCTTGTTTGAATCAGCGTGCTTTTTTTACTGCTATCTAAAAGTGCACTTTTGGCAAGTATACTGTGCAGGGAAACTTTGTAGAAAAATACTTGCAGTTTGATGTTCTATATGGCAAAATTGAAAAAAAAGAGGTCAGGCTCCATGAATGCAAAAGCCTGTTAGGACTTAACTGACAGTTGAGTTTGAAGTAGATAAAAAGAAATGGTTGGAGTTCAAATAATATATTGCTCATTTTCTTCTTAATACCATTCTCCTTTTCCTTAGCTTCAGCATCCTGTGGTGGAGAGAGCAGTGCTACAGCTACCACAGCAGGAGCAGGTGTTCTTAAAATGGGACGGTTTCAGGTAGGAGATGTTAAACTGATTTGGTTGTTGGTACAGGATCTTGGAGCAGTTCCTGTGTAGTGCCTGCTCAGTGTGCCTCATGGTGGGCTTTTCTGTCTGGAGAAAATGTCCATGTTGAGCTTGTGAATGCAGTGCTTTGTGCAGATGGTGTTTTCATTCAGGGCAGAGATTGCACTAGATTATGTAGGTCTAGAGTTGTGAATATAGCATTTCATCATGTCAGGCCTTAGCTGTGTAACTGTTGGCCTTGGTCTTTAGTGTTAGCTGCTTTTTAGCTAACAATGCTGGGATGTTCGCTGTATTATGTCCTGTTTGTGAAGGAAGTCCCCTCTGAATTTGCTATGTTTCTTGGAGTGAATCCTCCAGATTGCTTAGAAGTACTATTTTGTGTGGCAGTGTCTTACTTGGAGGGATGCAGTAGCTTGCTTTGTGGCATACCAAGGAAACAAGTTATTTTCCCTCTCTCACATGCATCTTATTGTTCGGTAAATAAAAGGATCATGTTAAGGAAGAACTAAGAAAGTCTGCATGATTGCATTTCTATTCTAGGTATCCGTGGCAGTGGATGATGTGCTAAAAGAGGGTGACAAACCTGAAACTAAGCCGGTGCAATTTGAAACCACCTCCACTGATTCTTCATCTCTTTCTGGCAGTAGCCCAGAGAGTACACTGGTAAAGCAGGCTGGCAGTCGGAAAAGCGAGGCTGTCGCTGACTCTTCCTTGGATGTGGTAGATGGCATTCCTCAGACAGTTCCTGTGCTGCAATTACCAGTAGATGTTGGTCAGCCTACTAAGGTTGGGCGCTTTCAGGTAACAACAACAACGGATCAAGTGGGGCGCTTTTCGGTGTTAAAGACTCAGGATGAGGTCAGCTGTGCAGAGAAGGAGCCAATGACTCTTCCTCTCTCTGTGGGCTTGGAACAAGTTGCTTCTTCAGCTGCAGCTCCGAAGAAAGAGTTGGAGTCAAGGCAGTCCCCACACATGAACGGTCCGTCCTCTGAACCGGAGGCTGCTTTCTTAAGCGGGTTGGCTAAGGATTTGGATGACGGCTCAGGGAGCCCAGACTCCCTCCAGCCCCTGGGGTCGAAGATCAGCCTCCCTGTTCAGAGCCTTAGCAACTCATTCAACTCTTCCTACATGAGCAGTGACAATGAGTCAGATATTGAAGATGAAGACTTGAAATTGGAACTCCGTCGGTTACGAGAGAAGTAAGGCTTTTTTCCTTGTGTGGTCACGTATGAAATATATGTAATAGGATTAATATGAATTCCATCTATACTTTACTTTTCACAAAGAACAAAAGTGAACTTCTTTAAGAGCCTCAACCTTTGCTAAGTATCAGGACGCTTTGTCAGTGTTTATGTGGGAAGTAAGATTCTTTAGTGGGAAAGTAGTATACAGTTATAACAAAAAAGGTATATACATGTTTGCTGTACTGAATTTTCTAACCTGTAACCTTGTTGTATGTGTTTATATGTAGAGTGATTGCTGCACTGTGGATAAGACTGCAGATATGTAGAAGCTTTTGCGTATCACTGAAATTTAGTAGTTAGTGGGAAAAGTGGTGTCTCATTTGAAAATGACACACAGCTCTGCATTTCTAATGGTTTTCCTTTTCCTGAAGAATCCTTGTTGGCTTAGAAAAAAATTTAGAAGTCAAGTAATGTGACCTACTAATTTATTTATACTGGAAGTTGAACTTTTTTTAGGGCAGCTGGCAATTTTAAATCTTTTGTATGCAACTGCTCTGAAAAAAAACCACCTAAGGTAATACAAATGTAGAAGTCTCCAAGGCCATATGTCTCAGAAAATGAGTAATCTAGCTATTCCTGTAGCATTTTAATGCTGAATGATTTGATCTTCTGCAGTAGGTGTATGTTCCTGTTTGTACTTCCATTTATCCTGGTTTTATGATTACAACACTGGGGCCTTTGTGTTGGAATTCTAGCCAGGGTTAGAGCACAGTGGAAAATGGCAAGTGTTCTGCCATCTGCGTTCAGTGGTTATTTGTGGAAAAGATTTATTTCCACCTTTCTTAAATGTTAATGAGAGTTTGACCGAAGAAGCTGGTCAAGCTTGACTGGAGGGGAGGGATTGTATGCATGCATGTATATACATATAATTTTTGTAAGTCAAACTCTTTGGTAACTTGTTAGGCACCTTAAAGAGATCCAGGAGCTGCAGAGTCGCCAGAAGCAGGAGATTGAGTCACTATACATGAAATTGGGAAAGGCCCCACCTGCAGTAATTATTCCCCCAGCTGCACCCCTTTCAGGAAGGAGGAGACGACCTACTAAAGGAAAAGGCAGCAAGTCCAGTCGTAGCAGCTCCCAGGGAAACAAAAGCCCTCAACTATCAGGTAAGACTTTATTCAATTTTCTGAGTAGATAAAACAGACAAGGTACTATCTCTGATTCTTAGATCTATGTCTGTCCCTCTGTTCTGTCTTTTGGAGGGGGGTATGTGTGTCCCAGTTCCTCCACAGCCTGGATTACTAGATCATTTTTGAAATTGCTTTTGCTATTTGGTAGTCTTGCTTGTGACTTCTGCAATCTACTAAAAGATACGGTTACATTGTTCTGTAAGAGCAGTTCTAAAGTCGTGATTTGTATTTTTTAGAGGTTACTCATAGGGCTCTGACTAAGAAAAAAAGTGTAAATTTACAGTATGGGGGAAAACTTTTATTTTATTTATTCATTTATTATTTTTAAGATAAACTGCTCCTGTTGCCTCCTGAAACTGATTTTGCGGAATGGGGCTGGTCTCTATAGTCATCTTCAGAGATTTTTTTTTCTCTACTTTAGTAGCAATTAAGCATGGTATTACTAGTGTCCTTACACTTCAGAAACTCAGTCACAGTTGATGGATGTTAAAGTAGTGATTTTTTTTTTTTAATGGAGTTGAAATTTTTTTGTACTTACAAATTGAGAAACAGTTTCAATTGTCAAGGCTTCCTTTCTTACTAAAACTGTTCTTAGAATAAACAGGACTCAGAAAAATAGTTCTGTTTACTGTTTGAATGACATAGATGTCAGATGCTTGCTGGCTAATCATAGATGTCTCTCAAATCCTGTAGCATTGAGTAAACCACACTGGAGGGCCAGCACTGCCAGCAGAAATACTTGTTACTGCTTCCTGCACATTCACTTTGGTAATTCCCTGTCATGCCACAGTTTCTGTATCCAGTCACCCTGGCTGCTCACTTCTGTTTTGTTATATGATAGGGGAGCTATGTGTAAGCATGTGACAGTGAGCTAACACAGAGTTGCCTTCAAACTTAAGTAAATAAGAATTTTTCTAGTCTTACTGCTTTCTCAGAAACTGGAATAGTTCCCTCCCTCTGCCTCCCCCTCTCTTGCCTGGGTTGTCATGCTTGACCAGAAGATACCTGTGTTGCCCCCCGCCCCCCCCAGCACTTCTTCCTGTATCACTAGCATAATAGCTCAGCTGATCATTTGAGTGACTTCACTCCCTAGTAAATGTTCCAGTCAAATTTTACTCTGTTTTTAATCCTGTCCCTTGGGAACAATTACAGAAGCTTCGAAAATGATGTGGGGTAACTGAAATGTTGAATGACTTTTTGTCTTCCTTCTTCCTCTAGGCAATCTGTCAGCTCAAAGTGCACCATCAGTCTTGCCCCCACAGCAGACTCTTCATCCTCCTGGTAGTGTGCCAGAGACTGGGCAGAACCATTTGTTACAGCCCCTCAAACCTTCACCTTCTAGTGAAAATCTCTACTCTGCCTTTACCAGTGATGGTGCCCTTTCGGTACCAAGCCTTTCGGCACCGGGCCAAGGTAAGACTTGAAATGGAATTGGTGTCAAGCCTTGCACCTTTGTTACTGGTGAACGATCAACTGGATGACACTTGATTTTTAATACATAGCATAAAGTAGATTGGTAGTCTCCAACCTATGCGTGGAGGCTGATAAGGGTGGTTTTTGCAACTAGATATCTACCTTCTCACACAGGTGAAGTGTGAGGTTGTTGAAGTAATAAATATATAGCACATAGCTCTGTCTGCTGTAATGAAAGCACCAAAGAGAATATAAAAGTGTGCAGTATGGTGGTGGCAAGCAATGTTCTGCTGAGCTGGGGGAAAGGTATTGGCCAAAAGGCTGAGGAGACAGATGAGAATGGGGGGTTGGAAATGCGAAGTGACACTAAGGAAGGGGCAGAGCAGCTTTGATGTTAACAGATAATTGAAATGGTAGGAAATTTCTGAAGACTTGAGTTCTTTTAGACTTCCAAACTGCTTTGGCTGTTTCTGTCAATGGAATTTTTAATGATAAATGGTAAAAAAGGCTCATGTTCCGCAATTGTGAGTTAAAGCATTATCCTGGGAGGAAGAGTTAGGGTAGCAGGGTGGAATGGTAGGAACAATGAATTGTTCATTTACTCAAGTCACTCAAGTTGTGGATTGCTTGTTATTAGTTAGTATGTTATCAAATAATTTCTCAGACACAGCTCTGATTTATTTGAGAGGGAGGGCTTTTTTGCTTGCCAGTCATTAAGGGGATGATAGCTTTATTCCTTTACTTCTCTGAACTTATCTGTTCCAGTTTTTTTTCCCCTTGAACATCTTTTTGAAAAGCTTTGCCATAGACTGATTGAATACATCAATTCTAATGCATGTTTTTGCTGAAATTGGAGAAGTACAGACAGAAAATGGAAACAGACTTTTTGGAAGAATTTTCTATAGGGTTTTTTTAATGAACTGTTTCAAGTGTTTTGGAGCTACTTGAATCATCTCCCTGTATCTAGAGTTGTGCAGTACCATTTTATAATTGGATACTTTTGCCAGGATTTGGCTTTCCTGTAGATTGCAACCTTATTGTCGGGTTATGTACTGGAGAGTAACACTGCAAACTTGGTCTAATGTCTGGACGTGTTGGAGGGAGTTTTTTCACTCTGTATATTGTCTACATACTCTTTGGTCCACACTTTGAGGCTTATTCTTGTGTGCCATGTTAATGCATTTCACCCTTCCAACCTCAAGTTGCTAACATCTTGTAGTGGTGTTCTGTCTCTTCTCTCCTTTCTCTGTTATTCCCGTTTTTGTTTTCTCACAGGCTGTGCGAAGTTTAACTGTGCATCTGAGAGAGTGACGTTCAAGCCTGGTGGCAGGAGGACCCGATTTCTGAGTACGCCCTGCTTGGCTCTTTGTGTGTAACACCTTTACTCCTTCCTTGTCTGTTTTTTGTTTTGTCTTTTTGGTTTTATTCTGCTGCTTGGATCTGTTTCATGCAGCCCATTCTCATCTGCCACCTTGTATTCCCTCCCATCCCATGGCTCAGCTGAGCTGCTCTTAGCACACCTTTAGAAGTTTGGGTTCTCGTGTTAGGTATTCTCTGCTGTTAAACTCATAATAACAAGCACTCATTTTCTCTAAGCTTTTGGTGGAAACTTTCAGGACAGTTCAGTGAAATAACAGAAACTGGGGAGAGTTAGCAAGTTGTGGGTGCATGGGCTTTTTCTTTTGGCCTGCCTTAGTAATTATGCTTCAGCATATGTTAGCTGACATCAGACTTGGAGGGGAGGTAGTCTTTATAGTGGAACAGTGCAGAAGACTTGTTTTCCAAATTATTCCTATGTTGGACACTACTGTAACTGATGGGGATGTGTTTTTGCATGTTCTCAGCAGTAGTGCTGATTACAGTGCAGAGTATTGATGCCACCTGTAGACAGTTAATAATGACTTCTTATGTTCATTAGCAGATGGATAGCTAAAGATTGAAGTGTTGAGGGTTTTAAAAATACTTAGAGAATATTTTCAGGCAAACTCAAAAGATCCTTACCTACTAATGGGCCCAGGTTTAGAAGTTTTTATTGTGAATTGGAGATACGCTAAATGTGCAACAAATAGTAGTAGAGGTGGGTAAATAGACATCTTCAGACATCCTGTCAACCTTCATGAGTTACCTTGCAGCTCTTTTCAAAATCCTTTTGTTTGTAAGTCTGGCCTAACGCAAGTACAAGAGAGCCTCAAACTTCTGATGTGATTGAAGTAATGATATGCTTGAGCCGAGGCTGCTAATGTGATGCTTTTTATTGGGAGTGCTGCAACATCTCCCACACTGCTTCTGCAGGCTGGGCTGTTTAAATGTCCAACATTTGTTTCCCACCCTCTGGAATGACTTGATATGAGAAAGCTTGAAGTGCTGTAAAGAGACCTTCAGTCGCTGCACTGCATGACAGTACCATGCGTCTGTAGCATCTGTCTTGCTACAGTTGGCAGTAGCATAGCTGAGCCAGAGAGTTGTGTGCAGGAACTGGGCCTGGCCTTCTGCAGAGACAGCTGCAATGCAACCAGCTCCATCCTTTGAGAAAGGGAGTGAGTCAGAGCGAGGGGAAATCTTTTCGTGGCTGTTCAGTTTTGCAATGATACCTCTATCCCACTTCATTGGATTTGGGGATATAATGGTATTTAATTTCTCAAATTGAGCAGCTTTAAATGTTTTTCCTAGGTATATTAATGTGCAGCTGTGCACTAACTGACATCTGCAATGTCAAGATTTATGGCTCCTTTCTTGAAGTTAAATTCCTTCCAAAGCTGACTTTAAAAAATCATCTTTAGTCTGTCCTGTCCTGTTTTGGGCTAGGGAATATAAAGAACAGCCATATGAGAGTATCATTTACTTACAAGACCTTGGCTTGCTGCAAATTGACCATCATCTGTCTATAAGAGTACTTTGGCATGTATATCTCTTGCTTATGGGACTGGTGCTAAGGGAAACGGATTCCTTTTGAAAAGTGTGTTGTAGCTGTCCTGTAAAAGCAGGTAATACTTGGCATGGCACAGCTTGGCCTGGCACTTGGCTTATTGCAGGTTGCTTGCTTCCTGGAGTCTTGTCCTTGAAACGCTATTGCAGATTGTGGTGGAGAGTGACAACTGGAGAAGATGCTGGGTTAGAATCAGCGGTGTTGAGGAAACAGTGCAGTGATTGATGCTTTTAACTGTGCAGCTGGAGAAACAGAGTGGTACAGCTTAGCAGGGAATGTCTGAACTATTCCACAGATCTGAGACAATAGGGTGACAAACTAAAAGGACTTGACCTATCAAATAAATCTTTCTTATGTTGTAAACCAGTCAAACTTTGATAGTTGTAAAATGCTTCCTACGTCCTGACAAAAATGGAAGATGTACTTGTTTTTCCTTTGTGATAACAGCCAGTTGTGATGGTAATGTCTCCTGACATTCTTCACTATTGGGAATTCTGAAGAATAAATGTAGGAGGCTGGACCTCTTCCATATCTGAAAGTACAACTGATTAAATTGTCAGACCAGTCTTTGGGTTTTTCCTAGAATGTCCCAGTAGTGACTACAAGAGCCCTGCTGTGCCATGTCCTCTGTTTCTCACCAAGCTTTTTGTACTGTTTGCTGATACTAAACATTTCTCACTGTTTCTCTTATCTTTAACAAATTACTCTCTCTTTGTGCTTCAGGGAAGATGGTGAAAAAAGTCTGTCCTTGCAACCAGCTCTGTAGTAATTATCTTATTTCTGTTATCTCCGATTCCTGATTGTAAAGCTATTCATCAGCTTTTTCTGGTCACTGAAGCCTTACCTCCCTGACTCTGTCTCCAGCACAGCATCTGTCTGTCTATGTTATGCCCTCTAATGTGTACTCTGTTGTTAGTATATTCAATCGTCTGGCTATTACTCTTGCAGACAAGTGGAGGCAGGCAGAACCTCACCTTCACTGTGGAACTCTTTGCTCGTTGCTAACGAGAGCAAATTGAGCATCAGGGTCAGTTGCTCACTGTAATGTGCTAGAGTGGTACCTTTGAGCAGCTGGTTTGTTTACAGATCTGGTGGGGCTTGCCATGTCAGTGATGGATCCAATTGCAGACACTCCTTCAACATTTTAAAAGAGTAAGCCATCAGATATCTCCAGTGTGTCTCCCAAAGCAAGAGATGTTTAGAAAAGCCTGTGTGTGCTCATGGCATTTAAGACTGTTTTAAAGGTGTCTTTTGACTGCTAGTTTATGGGGGGGGAAATAAAAGGGCAGAATGAAGGCATTATAGGTAGCGGGCTGGAGAGAGAGAAGCCTGTTTCACTTCAGATCCTTCATGTCAGAGCAGAACTGGGGACGGCTGCTGTGACCGAGCAGGAATGTGGGGGGTTGTTTCCATTGGATGCTACAAGTTGAAGCACTTCCTTTTCAGACTCTTCTGGATGGCAGTTTCTGTAGGCGGTGACTACATCAGAGCTAAAATGTGAAACTCCTGAGAAGTAATTTTTAAATTGACATTATGTGGGAGCTTTGCGTAGCTCACCTATAATGGTGTAGGCTGGTCTGTCTGTGACCTGAGATAGGAGCTCCCTAAAAAAATCACTTTTGGAGACAAAGCTCTCTCAACCTCCTATATTTCCCACTCTGAACCAATCCCGTCCTTTTCAAAACACTTAAACTTTCCTAAATGATCTTTCACATCTTCAGCTGAATGCACTGTAGTATATACCTTGATTAATTCTCCCCTTTTCATGGCCTGAGGAAGCTCTCCAGCATAGGTCCATGATCCAGTGTGCTTACTGATTAAAGTGGAAATGTAAAATATCAAAAGCAGATACTGGCCATCATGAAGAAGATGAGAGCAAGTGTGTCAATCCCTGCATGAACCCTCATGGTGGAATGTGATTATTACTGGTTTTGGCAGCTCCCCCCCAGTACCTCTTTCTTGCTTTTGCCTCATTTGTCTTTAATTTCACCTTTCACATCATTGTTCTTATTAAATAATTGTATTCTGAGCCCTTTCCACATGATGGATGCTTAAGGTTCCTGTTATTTTTACTGTAGATTTTCCTTGCCACCTTACAGTGTGTTCCTATTACTCTTCATCTGTGCTGCAGCTGCACTCCCTGGTCAGGGAACCTTATTCTTTCCTTTTTGTGTGTACTGTTGCATGCATCTGCCTGCCTGTAACAACTTCTGCCCCACCTGTGGCCACCCAGACTGGGAGCCACTTCCATGCTTGAGCTGGAGCTGGTGGAAGGGATACATATCCTTTCCTCCTCAGCACTACTAGAGGCAGTAACACTTTGCTTATTTGTCCTGCATAGTAAGTACGTCACCTTCCTAATTCACTCCTCAATATGAAACATTCCTGCAGGGGTTGGAGCCAGTTCTTTGATGTGGTGGTTGCAAGGAATGTGGCCGATAGCCAGGGAAAGTGGAACAGATGAAGTAGCTGTCAGGCAAGAGACAGCAACTCAGTCATTTGGCCTTTGCAATAGAGAGATGATTTTCATTACTGGAACTTTTGATGCTCATTTTAATCAGTTTTTCTTCAGAAATGTCTGCCGTAGACTCTGATTTTCTTGGATATCCCAGTTGCAGTTTTCAGAGTGAGCAAGTAGAAATGTTTGAGGGACTTTGAGAACCAAGTAGGTAAGGATGTGTGCTTGCAAGGAGTGCTGGGTTTAGCACTGCAGTGGCCAGATACTGATTTTGTTGTTTGGTTTTGTACTAAATGGATTTGAAAAACCTAGATTCATTCTGCCTTTACTGTGTCCTTCAGAAAAAGTCTGCCCTAGTGGTTAACTGTCGCTTCCACAACTGTAAATGAGGATACTTTGCAATACTGCTGGGAATTTAGGCTACTTGATAATATACACTTTCTTGGATTCCTGTTCTGAGATCTGCCTTTGAGAAACCTAAATTCAAGTGCAGTTGCTTGTTTATAAGTGTGAGTGGGATAGTGAGGCTATCCAAAACAAAGCTAGATTTATTTTTTTCTACAGAATAATGTTCAGCAAGCTTTCTAGCAGAACCGAAACCTGGTATTTATGTGAAGGGGTTTTTGTGTTCTTGCAATCAACCCAGTGAATAGAAAAACTTGTCAAAGCACCTCTGAGGAACTACTCTCATTTCTGCCTTCTTTAAGCTGTATTAGTTGTCTGCATCTGAAATGCTTGTTCTTCTGACATAGGAAATCTGAACATAATGGCAAAAAAATGCTTTCAGAGGCAAAAAGCAAAATTTAATGCAGTGCAGACTTCCCCTGCTGATCCTGGCTGTTTGGTGGATGAAGACAGTCCCATCTGGTTATCCTCAAGACCATAAGTATGGCAGCTATTGGAAACAACAGTTGCTGTTTCTCACTGTGGCTTTTTTGTGTAATCTGGGTGAATTTTTTCTCTTCATTTTACAAAGTGGAGATAATTTGCTACAGAGCAGCTGGCGATGCTGATTGTACTGCTCCTTATTCAGCATCCAGTGTTGTCCTCCAAGGTGGAATTGACCTGTGCCAATAGTGGTTGCTGCTAATTAAAAGGCATAGGATGAGAATGACATGACTGTACTTGTCATTCAGTGCTGAAATCTAATCTCCTTTTTCCTCTACAAAGACCTGTAGGCTGCTACCATTCCCCTCTTAAGATGACTACTTGCAGCACTTCTTGAAAAGTAAACATATCTATGAAATACTCTTAATCTGAGAAAATGCCTGTAGGATTCCTTGTAGTTCCCACTTCAGCGTGTCCTGGAACTGAAACTTAAAATTAATCTGCATGGCATTTAAACTGGCGCTCTATTGATGTACCGTTACCACAATTATTAAATTTACTAGAGAAAGATGATCTTTAACCTAAGTTTTGATTCCTGTTTTTTGTATTTCTAGGGACCAGCAGCACTAACACAGTCGGGGCTACAGTGAACAGCCAAGCACCCCAGTCTCAGCCTACTGCTATTGCCTCAAGCCGGAAAGGGACTTTCACAGATGACCTGCACAAGCTGGTAGATAACTGGGCCCGAGATGCCATGAACCTGTCTGGCAAGAAAGTTGGCAAAGGGCATAGCAACTATGAGGTGAGATGTAATCCGTGAACATTTATGGTAAGAAACTGTCAGTGTCGTTGCTATCTCATCAGGGTGTCAAACACAGAGTACAGTTGCCACATAGCTTGGACAACTGCTCCAGAAAACTGTTAGCTATATCTTTTATGTGCAGGATTGTATTGCCTGCTATGGAAGGGAAGGGGATAACTAAAGAGGAGGGCCGTGACATGTTCTTCTAAGCATCTCTTAGGAACGGCTTGTGGACCAAGGGGTGAATCTGTGGTTTTTAAGCACAGTTGTGTAACTGTTCTTGGGGGTTGGGTTTTCTTTCAGGGCCCTGGAATGGCAAGAAAATTCTCGGCACCAGGTCAGCTCTGTATCTCTATGACATCTTCCCTGGGTGCTACGCCCATCTCTGCAGCATCAGCTACCTCTTTAGGTCCCTTCACAAAGGCTATGTGCCCTCCGCAGCAGTACGGTTATCCAGCAGCGTCTTTTGCTGCTCCGTGGAGTGGGACGGGTGGTCCAGCACAGCCACCGCTCGGCCAGTTCCAGCCCGTAGGTGCCGCATCTTTGCAAAGCTTCAACATCAGCAATTTGCAAAAATCGATCAGCAACCCTCCAGGCTCCAACCTGCGGACCACTTAGCCGTGTTCAGAGACCATGCTGGCTAGACCTTGGGACAGGACATGGGGAGGGAGATGGGGCCCTGTATCAACTACTAGTGCTGCAATGAACTGGTAGCTTGCCAGACTGGGAATGAATTTCTCTTTTCCAACCATTGCTGTCAACTCTCTGTAAAGGGAGTTTCCCCGCACACTTTCAAGGGGGAGGAGGATGATCAGCATCCTTATGATGGGACAGTGCTTTTGACCAAGGGGTTCTGCTCTTGCATGGAACAAGAGCTGTGAAGAGAAGTCATAGGGTCAGATAATGCAGTCTTGCTGTAAAATTTCTAGTTTGAGGCTGAATCCACACGTGTTGAGGTGGGAGAGCTGAATCCTAGCATGAGGCTTTAGCACGCTTCTCATCTCTCCCTGAAGAACCAAGACCAGGAGAAAAGCTGTCCAAATCCCCCTCCTCTCCCTCTCCCCAGTCAATTGTATCTGGCTCCAAAATGATGGGGCACACGAATGGACTTGCAGTGCAGCCCGTGCTTGATAGGTCATTACTGCTTTAAGTAAGATATTAACAGCTTTGACTGCAGCATTAGAGCAATTTAAATTGTTTAAAAATTTTTAAAAGTTCCCTGCGGACATGTACTTACCATCAGTTTTGATGTGGAAACACTGTGATATATAAATGTTGTTGGACAACAGTAGTTTAAAAATGAGTGGAATATAGAGGGTTAAAAAAGTTAAAAAGAAAAAAATGGGAAAAAAAGCTAGCTATATCCTTATACTTATTGGAGACACTTTAACTTTTTCCTTTGTATTTTCATTGTATTAGATAAATAAATGTGAATGTAAAATTGTATAAATTAATGTACTTGAATACTTGTCTGTTCTCCCAGTATGCTTGCTGGATATTTTAGTGCCTTGGACTTCTATTGCTTCTGCAGTTAGCATCGTCTTCCCAGCAGATCCCCAGGTGGACAGAGGGCAAGTTCAGAGAAGGATGGATTATTTGTACCTAGTGACTGGGACATTGGAGTTTATTTAGTGATACCGTTACTGTTTAGAGTAGGTGTATGGAGGGGGAAGTCATTGAGGCAGCGGGTTGGAACAGCGTTCTGTGTGTTGGGGAAACTTGTCCAGGCGGGCAGATCTGAAGTTGCTGGTGTGACAGGGGCCAGGTGGGGGTGGGACGGAGGGTTGTGGGTGAAGCTAAAACGAGACTAACCAATATTGTCTACGGAGGTGGGAGGTCTGGATCAGAAACAGAGAGAGGATGGGGAGAACGTGTATCTTTGGGAAAGGCCCAACTTAAGATGCAGTTTGACTCCACCTGCAAAGTGGTAAAGATGTTTGGTCGGGATGTGACTTGAGGGAGAGGTGCCATTGCTCGTTGGCATGGGCTTGTCTGCTGGGATTGCTTTTCTTACCTTTTTTTTGGTAAAACCCATTTAAGCCAGGAATAGACTGTCCTGGTGCAACGTCCATTGCCGGCAATGGATGTACTTGAAACAGCCGGCATCAAGAAGTTTCCTCTGTCTTACTTGGAGGATTTACGATTTTGTTCACTCTAACAAATTTCAAGCTGGTACCAGGACTGTAACTATTTGTCACCTCTTAGTAACTGTACTGTACCTTCTGCTTTGGTCATTCTCCCTTCTCATATTTAGAAAATACTGGTTTCCTCCTCAAAGTAAAAATAATACCAGCCAGTATTTATGTAGTGCTGCAAAAAGCTGTGAAGGATGAGGGCACTGCTTCCTGGTACTTGGGAGTAGCTGACGGGTGTCCTGGAGGCTGGCGCATCACGGAGATGTTACTTGCCTGAATTTTTTTCTAGGAGCGCTGTTCCCCCAGGGAGTCTTAATAGGGAGTTTTTCTGTTTGCGGATGTTCTCACTCTTTTATTTTTACAGAGAAATGCACAAGATCCGTTCCTTTCCTGTCATTTTTTTTTTTACAGCAGTTTTGGCAGCAAGGGCAGGTACGGGCTGGAGATGAACGCCTGAGGGCAAAAGGTAGTGGCGAGGTGGCTGGGCTCGAGTCCCTGAGATTTGGGGGTTTATTCTTTGTAACTGAAGTGCAGACTAGAGCTACAGAATGAGGGAGGAGGCTCATGGTGTGCGTGTGGTGGAAGAGGGGGGAGAAAGCAGGGGTCCCGGCGGCTGAAGTGAAACCGGGAACCTCTGTTCTTCCCTCTGAATGGACGCAGAGAAGTTTCCTGAACACGCCCAGTGCGAGGGGAGAGGTGTGCTCTGGAAACAGCAGTGACAAACCTGAGGCAGTCATGAAACAAGGGGAATATTCATGGCAGGGGAACCAATCGGCTGGATGCAGCACGTGGTTATTTGATTTTGATCTAATACGTTTGAGGTCGTTTCTTCACTTAAATCTTATGCAAGGACTGGTTTTATTTACCATTGATTTCCGCCCCCCCTCCCCCCCTGCCTCCTGTGGATGAATAACTGAAGTCTAGAGGAATAAACTAATGCTACTGAACTGTTAAATTATTTTGTTTAATATTACACTTTGAGTATCTTTTTCCACATAAAATCTGTTTCTGAATTACAACCGTTTTCTTTACATTATTTAACAATGTACACTGTAAAAAATAAAAATAAAAAAAATAAAATGAATTGAAACTTTGGGCTTCCCTGGCCTTAGTTAGTTGTATGTTTTGCACTAAACCCAGGCACTGCGCTTCTTGTACGATTGCGCTTTGTGCTGCAATTTGTTACCTTTGTAGAATATTTAATGAAGTCATTCGAATAAACCAAACCTGCTTTTGTTGAGCTGTGGGTTTTCTTGTCGAACAGCATGTTCCAACCTCTCCGTCCTCTTCCTGGAGTGATTTAACTGTTACCCAGTTTATCATTTTATCACAGGAAAGTACAAGAAACCCATTTTAATGAGACCCTTAACTTCTCAAAAGCAGCGATCAATAATGAGCCTTTGGCCTTTCAGTAGAATACTCTGAAGCAAGGTACTATAGAGAATAACTCATAGAATGGATCCTCTTTATGAGAGGAGGGGCCTAAGGGAACGGGAGGGAGCAGGGGCGAAGGGTGATGTATAAGCAGTGCGATTACTTTTATGGCTGAGACTGTCACGAAGTTACTGAATAGCAGAGAAACACACTCGGCTATGACAGTCAGCAACTTGGTGGCTCTCCCTGTTTGAAATACAGGTGGAGCTTCACCAGCAGTGGTTCTGTGCTGCCTTTTGGCAGTGAAGCTAGAGCAGGGTGTGCTGCAAGGGCTGGGGAAGCCGCTGTCCTGGGCACAGAAGAGTCCGACCTCCTCGTTTTCTGTTGGGTCCCTTGCCCTCCTCACTGGGGTGGAATGGAGCAGGGATGGGCACCTGCAGTGCTGGGGAGAAGAAACTTTTTAGTGTAGCTCTGTAATAGGAATTCCATCCCCAAATTTGCAACCATACTGGTAGAGTAGAAGAGTGGGACTACTTTACAGGGTCATTCTCAGACAACTGTGGACTTGCAGGAATTATTTGGTATTTCTAAACACTAATTGCTGCTGCATTTCTTTCCATTTTAAGAACAGCTTCTGTTATGAGTCATGCTGCGCAAGGCCTTGAAGAAAAAAAAAGCTCCATGTGTAAGTTTTACAGCCCTTTTCAAAGGGACCAATCCCAAGAGGCATATTGTGGCGATTTCTCTTAGACGAGGCATGGCTATGTTTGCACTGTTTCCAGAGAGTCAAGAAAGCTGATGCAGTTGTGTTTATATGAGACTTTAAACTTTTTTGTTGTAAAAGTTTAGAGTGGCTTTGAATACAGTAATTCTGAATGTCTGCACATTCCCTTCCTAACAGGTATCCGATTTCAACAGTGAGTGCATGACTCAAACATGTGGTATGTATTTCTTCCCTGAGCTGTTCTGAACGCAGCACTGAATTGGAGAGAAACTAGTATGGTGAAATGTGAAACTAGAGTTAATTATAATTTGTCCTGTCTTTCCATACTGAAGTCAATCCTTGTTCTTTGTCCTGTTGAGGAGGTAGGTGGATAGTAGAGGATCTTTTAAGGAAAAAAGGACCAATTAAGTGGTGAAGGTAAAGTATGAGGAACATGAATAAAGGCTGAATACTTCAAATAAATGTATTTACGTTTAGACAGCTTTAGGAGACTTGACCTGATAGAGCAGTGATGGCCAAGCACAGGAACAAGGTCCTGTTTCAAGTCTGACATTCATTTCAGGGTTGCACTAATAAAGAGTTTGTGTAAATGTTCCTGGTTGAGCTCTAACTTCCAGTCCTGCAGTATCATCCTCCTTGTCTCCAGCACTGCACTTCTGAAGAATACTACTGTTACCCAGTTTGAAATACTGCTTAAAAATCCTTCAATTAACCTTCTTACGGGAAGGAACAGCTGTTGCTTTGCTCTAACCTTTAAAACCCACTTGAAGCTTTCTGTATCCCATCCCAAAGCAAATACAAGGTTGTACAGACATGGTGGTAGTCTCTTTAGCATTCTATTCGTAACTAGTCAGAATGTGTTCACTTCTTCGAGCTTGTTAAACAGGAAACAAGTTGTAACAGTTTGAAGAGTATAGAGGCACAAACAGCTACAAGTGTGGTTTGTTGTTCAAATGTCATGTTTATTTTTATATTGAAAAGGGTTGAAAGCTTATTTAAAAACAAAAGTTCAGCTCCCACTCATTTTACAAAGAGTCCAAGCAAATACTGTCTGAGATGCTACATGCAGCTCTGGCAGCAGTCCCAGTGCACTCCTGCCCCTGTGCTGCCCTCCTGGGCTGGCACGGCTCAATCTGCTGCTGCTGCTGCTGCATGGGAACCCGACACAGCTGAGGAACACACTGAGGAGCAGCAATGGGCTCTGACCCTGTTTGTGTAGCCATGGGGCAAATGGCTGGGCTGCATGTCAGGGGCAGACGCTGCCACAGCTTCACACCCTCAGCCTCACCAAATAGGTGACCACAGCTTGTGGGCTTTGTCACCTGACCATAACCCACCCTCTCCCCATTTTACTGAAAATCTCTTTTCTCTGTGCTGAAATGCAACACTGAGGGAGGAAAAAAAGCTATGAATTGCATCTCATTTAAAAAATTCATTCTGTTACCATTTCAGGCAAGTTACGTCTAGCATCAGCTTGTAATACAGCCACAAGTCTAGTGCTGCAGAAGCACAAATCATTGCTTTTCTTACATAAAAAGGCATCTGAAACATGCAATAACCTAAAAGTACATTAAATTCTTGGTGGCTGTATTAAACTCTTCTGTATTGCTTCACCATAATATACAGGAAAATCCATTAATGCGTTAGACTTCCTCACATAATTTGAATAGCCAGCTGCAGTCTTCTGATGTAATCCAGTATGGGGGTAATGATACCACCAGGTGTCTTACGTAGGTTCTAGTCTCCTTTTTTTCAAGCTTTGACTTCTCCTGTGGGGGTTATGCTCTGCCAAACAGGGAGATACATAGTGAGAAATGGAAGTTTCTTAAAGCTTTTTTCTGCTTCTAAAAGTGCTCCTCAATTCTTTTTCTAGCTCTTCCTCGATAAGACAGTTGGACGGAAAAAACAGATAGTTTCCCTAGCCCACTATCACAGCATCTGCAGCCAGGTCCAAGAAAAGAAGAAACGTTTCTCCCACTCCAATTTACTAACCTAACAGTGCTGCTTTTACAGCTGAGAGCCATTGTTAAGACAGAATTCAGTCGTTTTTTTGGTAGCACATACCTGGGGTATGCTGGTTGGCACAGCTGCTGGTGCTCATGATTGTAACAGATGGCTGCAATGGTGCAGTGGTAATGTGGTAATTCATTCTGTGAGGCGTCCTGCTGCGAGTAGTCATTTGATGACTTCCACGGGGTGTTTCAGGTGTCTGCTGTCCAGCTGATGGGTCTGCCATTTTATGGCTCATTATCATAAGATCAGTGGTCTCCAAGGAAATGTCCCAAAGTTCAGGATCATCTAGAAGGAATGAAAAGGTGATCAAACCAAAGATGACAGTATTGTACTACAGGAATGACAGTAACTCCAGGACCAGCCCACTCTCTTCCTACGAGTGGTGGCCACTGTGAAAGTTAAACTGTAAAGCATCTTTTATGCCAGTGCACAGCAGGGAAATAGTACTACCCCTTGTGCTCTGGAGTTAAGCAATGTCCAGGCACTGTGGTGTAAGTGTGACCCAAATAGCCACGGTTATGTTAAGAAAAGACACCCACCGCCCCACCCCCTGCCAAATGTTCTGTTTCTGTCCCTTCAGGAAAAGGATTTACTGAATAGGTATAACAACTCCACTGAAAAGCCTAAGTGTGAAACCCCTCATAGTGATGGACATAATTTCCCTGACACTCAAGCAAAGTTTGTGTTGTTAAGATCAGACTCGTACTCACACTTGCATTATTGCAACCTCTTCAGGACTTTTACCTTTACACTACTCTGAAGAGTCGATTTAAATGCTAGTCATTTAACACTCTTACTCATCACTTTTTGGCTGACCTGTAAAGAACTCCTCTTCTATTGCTAGCTCCTGTTGTATTGCTGCTGGAGTGCTGTGCTTTACAGGAGCATCGGATGTTGCTGGATGGAGGTAACGTAAGAAGAGATTAATACTAGAAATACAGAGGAAGCCTTTTGCTCCTTAACAGAGCATAAGTCTGCAATGATAAGCAGTAGCTGCCACCAGGTACCCTGTTTTTTCCTAGAGCTGGTTATGTTTTGGTAGCAGTATGTGGAATGGTAAGATTCTGTACCTGATGATGGCTGACAAGAGCAACTGCACTGCTTTAAAATGGTTGTTAGCCTGTGTACCCCATCCCCAAGTTCCTGCTCACCACACAGCTGTCCAGACTTCCTCATGAGTAAAGAGCAACATATTAGTAGCTAATGCAATGTCTATTTGCCTGCAACCACCTCAATGAAGGGCTGCAGCCTCAGCTCAGGTGCAGCATGCTAATGGTACTGATAACAGCCACTGTGCTGCATGAAGCTTTAGGGTGGTTGGAAAGTTGCAGTTTTAATGATTCAGTTTCAGAGCTGACATTCCTGCCACTTTAAGAACATAGAGGGGGGAAAAAGCATGATAATACTCCTTCCTTTGGCCTCAAAGGTGTGTTGATAGTACAGTACAAAAGCAAATGAAACTGGTCAGGCTCCTGTATTGAGGGTAACACATGCCTGCCAGTAGCTATCGTTAAAACTGTCAATTTTTAATGCCAAGTCTTACCCTGTTTGCTGCTAGGAATAACTACTGGAACCTGATGCTTTTTCTCCATCTGTTCCCGGAACTGCTGCTGTAGCTGCTTTTGTCGCAACTTCCGCTGGTAAGTGGCATCGCACTCAATAGCTAAGGAGTCTGTATTTCTGCCCCTCCCCCCAAATAAGCACAAAGGTAAACAGGATTTCAGCAATTACATTTTATGAAGAAAAAATGCATAAAGAAATAACAGCAAGGAAAATGCACTAAACTAGCATTTTATGGAATCTTCCAAATTGGGCTGTCTGTGTGTTTTAAAAGGTACAGTAACTTCTAAGATAGCTTATGGAACAAATTTATAATAGCAGTCTCACCTGGAACTATTTGGCTGTTTCTGATCTACTGTCACTTCAGCAGCCTCTGTCTGACCAGGCTTACAATTAGATGCCATCTCACAATGTTGTCTCCCTCCTGTGTTCTGCCTTTCCAAACAGCTATTGTATCTTGCTTTCTCTATTTCAGGCTCATAATCCTGTCTTTTAGCTTTGACCAAATCTAACTCAGAGGGCATCTAGTAAAGGAAAACAAGAAAACAGTCAGAAATTTCCTTCATCAAGTTAATGAAACATGCACAGGCTTTTTCTATACAGTACCGTTGAAAAAGCTTTGTTTGTTTGCCCTAAGTGGAATAGCAATTTAGAAGACTGAAATGCATTTTCAGTTAGTTAATCATTGAATTCATGTGACTTTTTGTTAGTTTAATAGTTCAGTGCTTCAGGGCAGATAGCCCATGTCTTCCTGTAATGTGCTCTCTGCAAATGAGAACAGATACAGGTGATCGATGCAGAATTCTGCAGCTTCTCAGTCTCACAGTTTTGGCAGTTCCATTTTCATGCTTGTATTAAAGCATGGCAAACCTTTACTCAGTTCTGCAATCATGAGGTCACTAAGGAAGGTACACTATTCTCTTTTTATTAAAGATGGGATGGTTTGGCTCTGTCATTTTACAAATTTGTGGTAATGCCACTAATAGGCAACAACCCTGGCAAAGCGGAGATCTGTGCCATCGTTACTTGGTGAGGTGTCGCTTTGGATCTGCTCCTACAGTCTAAGTTAGCTAGATAGAACCACCTCGTAGCTCTAGGCTGGCTAGCAGAGTTTGGTAGATCCTAGCATGATGAAGGCAAGTTTACAATGAAACTCTGTGGATCAGTACTTGTAAAAGGCTTACTTTTTCCTCCATCAGCAAGGTAGGTTACTGCCTAGAAGCCTACTGCCCCCAACTGGTACAGATCAGGAACTAACAAGATTAAAGTTCGTTTCTGAGGTGCAAAATCCAGCCAGGACAACTTTAATACTGTGAAGACTGCTGTGTTAACATCACAGCATACTTATAAATTGTGACAGCTCTGAAACAACAGGGTTACAGTGTGGTTGTCACTGATGAAGATGTACATCAAAATTTATTGTCTCTCTCTGGACCAAAGACCTCCAAAAGAGGCATTTCTCCATGGTGTTGGTTACCTCAGAAGGTTCACAGAGGGTAAAGCAACAGCAGCTCTTCTCTTGCAAACTGAAACCTAAGGAGGTAAGGAGTCTGAAAAGCAAAGCAAGATGTAACGTGCCTTCTTATTGTTCGGGAAGGATAAGAACCATACTTATGGCAAGGAAAATAAGTGAAGTGTTCAGGTACATATCAGTTGTACATGCTAATTCTTCATATATTCAAGAGCCGCAGTTTGCCAGTAGTATCATATCAGGTATTTAAAACAAATGAATTGGAGTGTAGATCTTCCTAATGTTATTTCTCATCCTCCAGCAGCCAAGTCCAGAACATCCTGCTCGCATAATTCCGTTGCAAAATTCAGGTACCAACACATTATTGAAGTAAAGCAGAAGACATTTGCAGGGCCATTTGTACACTCCTCATGCAGCAAAACACAATAGTGTTACCTGTTTTGCTGTTCTGGGGTAAAACTTTGAAGCAACTGGCAACAGCTAGAAGTTGTCCAGTCTAAAAAGGTTGGTTCATCCTTTCTATCATAGATGCATCTAGTAGTTTGCAATGTTCTTTTGGGAAGGATCCAAATTGGTTCACTGAAAGTTGAAACCACCTTTAGAAATTACCTTTGCTTGAGACCTCAGTATAAAACCACTGGTACAGAATAATTACTTGTTAACTATTCTAACAAGAACAATGAGGGGTGAAATACAGGTACACTGTAAATTTTGTTACAAGGACCACGCTGAGTATATTTTCTGTCTAGCTGTGATGTGCATTAGGGCCTTGTAGAGTTTGAATACCAGTTAGTAAAAGGACAAGGCAACTATCAATGCATGTATTGATATTGCTACTGTATGGAATTTGCTTAAAATTAAGTGAAAGTTCCAACTACAGCAAGCAGCTTTGGTATGTGACCCACCTGGTATTGTTTCTAGGATATCCTGGGTTATGCATATTAAAAACTTTATTTGAAAGAGGAAGGCTTTCTCACAGAAGAACTTCCTATTTTCTGCCAGAACTCCCTGAAGTCTAAAGAACGCTCCTTTTTCTTGCTGCCCACTAGCTAATATATAGGCTGTCCACTTGAGAGACTTCAGCACTAAACGAAATAGCCCCAATTTTGTAGGAATGCACGGAGAAGCTGTACCTGATTTAGGGTAGGTTATGCAGATAATAGATATGCTGTCTGCCTACTCCTCTGCCCTGCCTGCAGCCTCTAGTTTTATGACTTAATACAGCAATTTCCCATCCTTTTTTTTTTTTTAATTCCTGAAAAAATCCAGTAATGAAAGGAATATGACAAGTAAGTTTGATTTTTAAAATTCATAACAGTAAACTGGATTGTGCAACCACTTACAATGAGAACAAACTGAGAGATGTGTTCTGGTTTTTGCCTTATACAGGGCAAAAACATCCAGTAAAGAAACACGCACACAGCCTTGACAGATTCTATTCTCCCAAGGACTTCCATTTCATTTATGTAAGGAATATATACCTTGACACTGGTATCATTGCTGATACACATTTAAAGCAGAAGTGGCTATATGAGAGTGATGAACTGAGTTGCTGCAACTGACAGCGTAAACAGCCTTAAGAACTGCAGCACATGGAGAAAACGGCACCTAGAAAGAGGTAGTTTAAAGAGTTCAGTATTTCCTGTGGTAACATTTAACCTGCTATGAACATAGATGTATGCATTACTGGCACTGAACAGAGAGACTTAGACAACATGGCCATATCCTTGGGTAGGATACTATGGTTTCTTCACCATAGTAATCTTGCCTCCTGCAAATAGTCAAAATTTAGAGTAGTTGTGGTAAAATGTCAGGGAAGAACTCTGTAACAAACAGTTCACACAAACTAGCAGGCAAAGGCCATTGGTCTCACAGCTGCCAACATTCAGGGATGAGATGCATTGATATTATTATTCGTAATCTTTTTAATATGAAGGACCAGGAGCTGCAGACATCTTGCAGTCCCTGCTCTAACAGCCCATGTACTGCACCTGACGTGGAAGCTTATTCACGGCTCGTAGGTAGTCTTTGTCTAAGATGCAGTTCCCAAGAGCATTCCCAAAGCACCTGAGAAACAAGAGAGCTCACTGTGACTGAAAATAACACTTAATTCTCACTTAACTTCTGAAAATATACAAGTACTGATCTTCGCTTACTTGAGTGCCCTCTTCAGTCCATCTGTTACTGCCTCCTTTCTTGCCTTTTCTAGGGACAAGGCCTTAGACTTTAGGCCTTCACTGACTCCATACCCCACATCTTCATGGTATGACCCATCCTGCAGTAAAATTTAAAAAATACTAAGTATAAGGGAATTTCTGCACATACAGCATTTCTTTTTAGATGCTGTGCTTTCCTAAGCCTGATTACTCACTCTTAGCTGGTTGTTCTATAGCAAGGTCAATGTTTTGGACACCACTATGTTCTCTGGTGTAGTAGAGTACTCAGGAACCACAGTCTGACCTGTGCATGAACTTTCATTCACAGCTTTAGACAATTGCTCAACTACAGACAGAGCAAACAAAAAAATCCACTTACCTTAAGCTGAACTTTCACAAATGCACAGACCCCCACATAGAACCTGCCATTGTTGAGGTCAACAAAATCTGGGGGAGGGAAAAGTAACATCCTAAATAATACAAAAGACTTCTGATCTACATTTAGATCTTATTTTGTCCTTTGAGGGCATTCATAAACCTGTACCACACTTGCTGAATGTGCCCAAGATACTGTATCATCTTCTATAAAATGGAGCATGACTTACAAAATATTAACTGTAGTTTGAGAATGCGGACTTGCATATATGCTCTGGGCATGTTACATGATACTTTCTAGTTATTAGTGGCTAGATCTGCCAAACACTCACACCCTGCTACTACATGTATAAACTTAGAAAGAAGGAAGAGTTGTAAATGTTACTTCTCATTCAGCTACATATCCCAAATGTTCAAAGCATAACAATTTTTTCAGCTGGAAGGAAAGATTTAAAGTATCAATTTATAAAAACAGCAAAGGAAAAGAAACTGTTGTCTACAGAAGTAATTTCTTTCCTATTATATAGTATAAGTCTCCAGTTTGTGAAATTTTGTACAAGGTTTTCTCCCAGACAGACTGCCTGAAGAGCTTAACAGGTTGCAATACAACTCTCAGTCCAGAATCTCTATCTAGCTTATTTTACACCAAAAGCAATGCTATATAATATACATAGGACACTCTAGTTAGCAGTCTTGCAAGTCCAATACAAACATGACATACGTCTGAACTGAAATGCTTTGAAGTTCAAGTAACTGTACTCTGGGATCCAAAAGTTCTTCTGTACTCATCTGGTCTATTGGTTTAATTGTTCTGTAAACCTGCTGGAGGTGCAAGCCCTTTTTCTACCCAGGAATTTAAAACCAAACATAACAGAATCCTCTGTCTCTGAATTTCTAAGGAATGACTTGTTATGGTATTATTTGAAAAAGATAGAAGTTTGAAGGATGTCAGTCCTTTCTTGACTAAAAGGGGGGAAAAAAAAAAGTGGTACGGAATAGATGGTAAGCAATGAATTAACTTGTTTTATGTCTAGAATCTACCAGCCTGAGGTAAGAAAAGATTTCTGAAGGCAGAGTGGGGTGAAAGAATGTACATTTAAGCCGTTTTGTTGAGCTACTTCAACAAGCAGTCTTCAGTCTAAGCACAGCAGATCTGCAAACACAGACAATACTCCTCTGGTAGAAACTATTTCGGCTATCAAGATGGAAGAAGCTTAAGCTTTGAGATCACCTGAATACCATTTTCTAGAAGAATAACTTTTTCTAAAGCTTTCTACTGTAAAAAAACTCAGAACCAGGTATTGGGTAGCAGAGGAATCTGCAGAAAAAGATGGGTCCCTAAAGATTAGGAGAATATTAACTGAGAATATAAAAATTACAGGTTAGTATGAAAGTTGTCTCAGGGCTGCTGGGTGTTAAATAGTTTAATTGTAATTACTCTTGACTGAGTGTTCCCATAGAAATCAGAAAACTTGATTAGAATAGCTCAAGAATAATCATAAACACGCTTAGAATAATGACTATGATATATTCCAGTGCAAGATCTAAAAAGAAAACACAAGCTCCATTATTATTCAATTTCTCTCATTCTTACCAACTGCTAAGACACCTGGAAATTCCACATGCCTCTCCCCAGGTTCTTTGAAGTGATCAAGTTCTAGGATAGATACCCCGGTCCTTATCTGAGAGACTTTTCCTTCAGGACCTCACAGTGAAACAAAAGGAAAGACTACCCTTAAGAGATACTTACCAACGTTCTGCTGAGTGACTGAATGAGCCCAGCCATTGAAGCCAAACATCTCATTGGCCAGACTGATTACCCTGTGACCCTCAATGTAACAGACCTGAAAAGAAAAGCATATATATATACAAAAATATATATAAAAATACATATGCATGTGCACACATCTATACATGCTTTATTTTAAAGAGGGATTACACACATCGTCTTACACTGGGGAAACGTAGCTAAGTTCAAGGTTCAGATAATGTGAATAAAAGGATGATAGTGCAGCTTTAGGTTTGCCTTCTTCCAGCACCTATGATGGGGGGTTAATATGACAACTAATATGACTTAATCAATGGAAGGCAGAGCTAGCGGGCACTAAAGAGGGCAGCCAATGTTATGTAATGCTTCATATAGTCCAGTTCTGCGAAAAAATAAGAAAAAACATCTCAGTGTTCCACAAATAGATAAATATTGCCTTGTAAAAGAGGAAGCACTGAAAAGTTAAGTCTTTTTTTAAAGTGTAAAAGGAGCCTGTGGCTCAGTAAAAGCCACAGTTTATGCTATGCTGACTTTGCTTTCATATCTGCATATTAAACTACTAGTGGGAAATTAACTTCCAAAAAAATCAGGATTATTGTAACTTTTTTTACCCTAGTATTCCTGGAAAAAACGGAGTTGAAACATCTATGCATGTTTGTTCATACCTTTTGTCCTCCTCCAGCTTGCCGACTGCTGATATATTCTGGACCCAGTCTCTGACGAAGAGCATGCTGGATAGCTTGATATTCACTTGCTGTGTATTGATACTTGACAAAAACAAGGTAAGACAAATCTTCTCACTCTCCCTATTTAGCTCCATCTCTTCTCCTAATATCACTATTTTACCCCATTTTTCCACGTACAGTCCTTCCAAAAGGTGTATGATCCATTTTTAGAATCAGGATATAACAGATGAGGAAAGACCTCAGTGTGTGTGTGCATTACATTTGTGCATTATATTCTTTTTTTCTCTTACTCTTAAAGTATATGTATACAAGCATTAATTATTGAGCTGTAGCAATTATTCTTCATTTCTCAGAACCATTGCTTTTGCATTAGAAAAACTGAGATAAGCCAGGCCTATTAGTATCCTATTGAAATCTTAATGTAGTCATAATCCTAGTCAAGGTTGCCAGAACACACATACAAGCTTATATTTTACTTCTCAAAAATAAAACATAGTATCACTGTGACCAACAAGAAAAGTGTATGTAAAAACTTCAACAAAACCAAAGTCTAACTTTACTCTACCATCATATGCCATTAGAGCAGGGAGGACAGCCTCTCAGGCAAGCAGTCAAAATAGGAATTTCTTGAGGAGTGTTCAGCAAATTCCCCTCATGCAGGGAAGGTCCTTTGGATAACTCCAACATCACTAGTATCATTGGATAACACCAGCATCACTGTAAGCCTAAAGTGTTGTAACTTTTGCTCTCTGTCTTAGTAGAAATACAATTTACGATTTGTAAAGGTTAGAGAAGCCTAAATGCACGTTTAAGAATTCAAGCACTAAAAAGCTTGTGTTGCTATGCTCTGATGTGGGACAGAATGGAGATCTTGCCACCTAAATCATAAGTATTGCATATGCATGTATTGGCTGCCCTATCATTCAGCAGAACCCAGAATTCAATAGAGTGTGTGCCATGTAAGTTCCAACGCCTGCCAAACTTCTCCAATTTGTATTTGGTTCCATTTAAACTTAAAGGAATAACTTTGTCTCTTTCTGAAACTAGAATGCAAGCCTGTAACCAAAAGGCATAAGGAAAAAGGGAGAGTGCACATGCCTACGCCATATTCAGGAACTATGTATAAATGCCTATCATGGAGAAGAGAATTCACCACCAAAAGGTCTGTTCAGTCCAGATATGGTTTTCTTTTTTCCAAATTATTTTAATTTTTTTAAAATTATTTTTTAATAGCTGAAAGTAGTTGACTTTTCTGAACTGGTACTGAGAATGTGTGCAAGCATGATCCAGGCCATCTGGGAACAAGAGAGAATAAAATGAGCCCTATTTCTAAGGAACAAAATTAAAAACCTTTTGTGAAGAATCCAGAGCAATTTATTATAACTCGAGGCATGCCAAGGCTATCCTGGAGGAAAACACAACGTACAGTTAGGTACAGCATAGCTAGGGTAATGGATATGACTCCAACCTTACTGTATCCAACTTTAAAATGAGTAAATACACAGAGCAGATTTCCAGAAGCGTAAGCATAAAACTTCTGGTTTCCTCTCAGGCAAAAGGAACTGACCTGTCCGAAGCAAGCAACCGAATTGCTAGTGCTGGAAGTATTGCTGCTGATGTAGCTTTCACTGTCTTTCCCTTGACTTTCAGGCATCCCTAAAGATAAGAGGAAAATATAAACACTGAAAATAACAGAACAGTCTGTATGAAGACATGCCAAAAAGCTGTTGAAGTCCATTGCCCAGTGAGTGTAACATTATTCTGTAATAGAGGTTTTGGACATTACAGTAATATTATATTTCTCACTCCGTGGAACTGCTGCAGCCCCAATTGGAAATTTGTTTTCTGATGTTGTTTCAGAACAGTCAAAACTTGTCTTCTTAAATATGTTATACTACGTAGGCAGAAATGGCTAGTTTCATCCTAGAAGCAGAGGCACTGTTCTGGTCTTCCATCCATAAAACCAGTAAGGGTGAGCCTAAATTAAATTACATGACAACAGTGAAACAATTATTTTGTTTAACAAACAAATAAATTATTCTTGCTAGAAAAAAAAATTCAACAGCATCTGGATTGTGCATAAGACCAGAGACTAGAACAAAAAATGAATAATGTCTCGAGCCCTTATTCTGAATATTACATTGGTAACAAATGATTCCCTCCCCCCCCCACTTTAGGTAAATGTTGATGCGTTGTACCATTCTAGGTAAGGAAAAACCAAATAATTCCCTCTTTCAGATTCTTCAGTACTGTCTTTCAATATCCATTAATACTGAGACTGACAAAAAGGAGAGGCAACTTTTTAAAATTTTACTCATCTATACCCTGCCTTGTCAGTCTTTATTTTAGATTATTATTTCGACTGTAATCGTACTGTCTTGTGTTATGATGGTATCATATAAACTATGCAGAGTTGAAAAACATACAGAACCTGTAAGAATTTTAATAAGTTATACCGATAATTCAGTAGATGGCACCCTTTTCCAAGCCAGTAAGTATGCAACAACTACCCAGTACTGCATTACCATTCCACCCTGCTGCTGGAAAAGTGTCTTGCTGAGATCTTATACAACAGGCGTGCAAAGGAGCTGCAGCAGCACTTCTATGTAAGCCCATAGAGGCAATCTGTTATTGTATTGGCACAAATACTGAGTACAACTGGTAGTCTATCACTAAGACTTTTGTATGCAACACAAATATAAGACAAATCAGTATACATACAAGACAGCTGGACTTGTCAAAACAGTTTGAGAAAGTCTAAAATGCTCAGCAGATACCATTATTTGACAGTCAGTCAGAACCTGGGTAGTATTATGCTTTGCTAATATACTCCAGGTTCAGCACTTTTTAAAACAAGTTGTTTTTCTAGTCCCTAAACAAGGAAGCCAAAGTTTACTGAGAACTTGTGAAGCAATTTTCAGAAAAAGGATACTAGTCGTTTCCTTGGCAAATACAAGCACTGGTAATTATACCAGGTGAAGCTAAAATTCTCCTTAATTTTGGTTGGCTATAATTATTCATCTTTGGCCCAAAAGTTGTATAATTGTACAGTGTTTAAACATTTGAATGTGTTTCAATCAAAAGTTAGCTGCAATTTGTGGTAAATACATTTGGTTTTGGAAGAGAACAAGTAGAAATTAATATTACCAGGAGAAACACTTGTGATTTAAGCAGGCTATTTCCCCTGTTAAACAAAGAGTTCATTGCATTGTGAGGGAGAATTAAAAAAAAATAGTATGTGTGGGGAGCGGCAGAGGGAATCAAAGTTTGAATGATACTCTTCTTTTTTTCTCTCCACTCTAAGCAGCCTAAATCAGATCTTAATCATTATAAACCCCTTGGGAAAAAACAATGAATGAAATGTGTGCATTTGCCTACATAACCCTATTACCAGTTTGCCACAAATCTTTCTGCACAGTAGGTGGGTGGCATTTTGAAGCAAAATTGCTTTAACTGAAACCAGTATTAAGTCCTTTAATTTTTTATATGGTGTGCACCATTATCAGTCTAAATTCTCTGAAGAGATACAGCTTTAATGAATCTCTGAATAAGATACGGAAATTGATTCTGAATGAGAATGAGGAAGTACAGAATTCTGCTGAAAACAGCTTCACATCATATGGTTTTAATCCAACAGATCAGATGCTGCTAGAGAATACTAGCAATATACTTCTTTGCAATAAACAGTTTAAAAAATGTGAGTGGCTTGTATTCAAATTATGTATTATTCTACAGAAGGAGACAGATGATGTCAGTTTAGTTTCAGGCTTTGCCTGTAGGAACAGTTTGCTTGAGCTGCGAGCCTTGTTTAAACCAAACATTCTATTAGAGCAATGCGGTGGTGGGTTTTTTTTCAGTCGGTGAAGTGCAGCACAGCAAAGCCCTATGTCTCAAAGCAATTGTCAGAGCGTTTCAAAGTGACAGAACTTCAATTTCAAAATTATTAGAGTAGGAGTTTGGAAGAGAGAAAAGTTAATTCTGCAAATGGAGTTATAAATCTACCCCAATACCAGAGCCAGGAGCTAGGGAAGGCAAGGCACTTCCATTCCTCTGCAGAATATTGTTTCCTCACTCCCCACCCCCTCCCCACAACGTTTTTATTTGCATGAAACATTGATACTGAAGTAGGTAATGAGCTATTGTCTAGAGTACAAAAGAGTCTCAAACACCCGCCAGGGCCAGGACAGTGCTAGGAGACTGCCTGACTCATAAACCCGTGTTAAAAAAAAGCTGTGTTTTCAAACCACCATTAAATAATAAAAATTAAAGTTCAAATATACTTGCTCTGCATGCAGAATGATAGAAGCAGTTTATCATCAGCTTAAAGACACCTAGGAATTATAATTTATTACCTCTATGACTGTGACCATTATTTATTATTTACAGGGAATTATTGTCAGTTTAGCTGGTAATGTTCTCAGAAGGTTTTATCACTGAGAAGAAGCACACACAAGACTACAGGTGTCATACTGTGCTCCAAAACATTACCTTGATAACCTAGAACAGGCAAAGAATCTTAACAGCTTTTACTACTAACATATTTTGATCTTGTTTTTTTAAAAAAGTCAATAATACAAAAGCTTAAAATTTGAACAAATTAGGTACACAATCAGAAAAATTGCTGTTCTGGGAAACTGGATATGAAATACTAATTGTAAACACTCTAGAAGCAGGTATTTATTTGTATGGTGGTACTGAACTGAGCAGCTGCTGAAAAAAATCTGGGAGTGTACACAAATTTCCCAAGTAGGAGATAAACCCATCCTCTAGAATAGAAAATCCTGAATTTAGTCTGTTCAAGTACAACTACTACTGTGGGTTACGGCAGCAACACCTTCAACTTTCATGATAGTGTGCACATAACTTCTAATTTTCTAAATGAACACATCCTCACACACCTGTCTACGCTATTGACCATTACTCCAAAAAGAGATTTTGGTCCTAAATCACCTATTCTCCTGTCAGTTCCCCTCTGTCTTGACAAACTCTGTTTTTGTGCCTTAATCCTGTGCTAGGAGTGTCAATTCCCAGTTCTCTTCACATGTAAGGTAGAAGCAGGCAGTTTTGCATCACTTTAAAATAGTTTGCATACCATGAATTGTCTAAGTACTACAACTTGTGAAACCCTCAGCTAGAACATGGCTGTTTCAAGAAATTAATTGTAGCATCACACAATCTGTAAGATACAACTTTAACACACTGTGCACTTTTAGAGAGCTTTTTATTCAACCTCATCCTTCTCTATATGGTAAGTTTCCTTCACAGCGAAGCTTTAGTTTGCTGAGCAAAAATCTTTAACATTCTTTCAATAAATGCAATTCTACTGAGCCCACCAAGAGCAAACAGCTATGCACGTAGCCAGTGAGTGATTTAGCAAGCACTAAAGATAATGCCACATATTTAACCTAAGGTTCGTATTGCTCTAACACAAAAAATACAAAAAACTTTAAAAATTGTGTATTTCTGTGGAATAGAATTCCACACTCTCTTCTGAAAATTCCAAACTGTAAGCTGATTAACCTGTTATGCAAAGGTTGCTTTATCCAACACTGAGCTGAGGTGTATATCTTTTAGGTGTAAGATGTTCCTAATCAAAACAGGCCTGTGCTATACCACAGTTTAAAGAGTGGAAAACAGATTATGTAACTGCTGTGGGAAAACTGCATACAATGTAACTCTTCAGTTTTTACTTCTGATAATATCTCTAGGCAAACAACCTTGATGCCTTGAGAAAAGTGAGGTAATCTTCTGTTAACTTCAATGGAAGAAAAAGGATATTCAGTGTTTTATGGGTTAAACAACAAAATGCACAGGGAAGTCATGAGACTGGATGTCTATTGTAGACTAAAGGTGGTCTCTGATGCTTGCCAATCCCATATTGGAATGGATGGATTCAGGCCACATTCTGCAGTAAAACCACCCCAGCAAGAGAATAAAAAGGTATAATGTAGGAAGTTTGAGCTACCCGCAGTAGTTTAAATATATTTGTTTTCAAGGCATATAAATACCAGTATATACCAATTTCTCCTCAGTTACAGCACATTTCAGATTTGACATACCTTCAAACAGTCCCACTTATTTCTGTGGAATCTATGTATGTAGCTCTAAACCCAAAATTTAACCCTTAGATTTATCAGGCAGTACTATGTTTACTTTTGGTGTGTCTAGGATGATGATACCCTCCTGGCACAAAGCAGAGAACACTAATTCTGGTTACACTTTTTACTGATTAACATTTTAATGAGTAAAATGTAAAGTTCTTTCTTCCTTATCTTTATACAATCTTTTCCAACTTAAATGATTCTATGATTCTGGAGACAGACCTGACAGAAATATTACTCAAATATTGTAAATTATTTATGTGGGTACTTCTTTCTAAAAGCCTGTCAGATTGATTTATAACCACATCATTTATATATAAGCCACTTTAGTCATAGCAAGGAAAAGACAGCAGGCTTTTTAACTCAAGAGTAATGGTTTGGGACTTAAAGGGAAAAGCAGCCTGTCCAACTGTAACTGTAGAAAGCCTATAGTTTTGCCAAATGCAATTACTAGATGAGGAATTAATCCAGGCTGGAATCTAAAACATCTGAACTCTGTAAGAGCTGTGGGAGATCTGTCAAACTGCAGATCATAATAAACATTGCGATTATAGGCACAGATGACACTTCTGGCAGCAAGGCCATATTAAGCTGACAGGCTAATTAAGTTACCCTGAAAAATCTCAAGCTCTCTATTTTTCCCCAGGTTGACACTGTTTATTTTTAAATGGAAAATCATTTACATTTGAAATTGACAAAATACTTCAGGTTCAGGTATGGGCAAGCATATATCTATTTTCATCCTTCTGCTGTCTTAGACAGCAATGTAAAGTATCCCTTTTGGGGGATACTTTAGGCTTGACAGAAGGTCTTGTATATTATAGCATGTACTTACCTGCACTATATTATTCTTCATAAAGTAATTTGAAATGGATGCTGTGCTTCTACAGTTGAAAAGGAAGTTCAGGTTATTGGGACCTCAATATATGTCAGCTATCATAATTGTGAGAGGTCTGAATTACCGTATTTTTTGCAACAAGATATTCATTTAAATAGTGATCATTTTTATATGTCAATAACGGGGTCGTTCCTTGTGTAGTCTTACAGATCTATCCAATTTACTATAACCTCTCACTTCAGCGTCCCCTGGGAATAACGGCTAAGGCAGTCAATGTTGGTTTTGGCTACTTACACCTCGAAATCACAAAAAATCGAGCTAGAAAGACTCCTGAGCAGGTCATTTGCTCTGTCTGCCTGGATGAAGGCAGGGCTCGGTTGCAGCAGGCTGGAAGTCTTCTAAGTTAGAAGCAGCCTTTATCAGGGAAACCGAGTTTGCCCACGGTAAGAGTGCCTAGGCAGCAGCGGGGCTGAGCGTACCAGCTTTGGCGTTGCCTTTGAGGGAAACCCACGGGCTCAGGCGGAGCGTTTTTTACCCGAGGAGAGTCGCGCTGCCTCCCGCGGCCCCAGCCCCTTCGCGCTCATTCGGGCGGGGCTCCCAACGGCGACTCGCCGCAGCTCCGCGGCCAAGGGGACCTCGAGCCTCGCCGCCGGCAGGCTGGGGGACCGGGCCGGCAGCAGCCCCGCCGCCGAAGCGGGGCACCCGAGAAGCGGCGGGCA